TTCACTTCCAAAGCTAATTGTGATTTGTAATAGTAGTTCCTAACAATTTGGTAGAGGAAGATAAATAAGGATAATACACTGTTTATTTGAAGCTTAACATTTAATTACTGGTTTCTCATCTTTATTTTGTTCCACTTTAAATAAATATGACACAAGAATACTGCTTCAGAAAATACTCAGCTTTAATATGAAGGTACATATATATATGGGGGGGGGGGGGGCAGGGACAGATATTGCCCTAAAGATGTTGACATAAGTACTGATTTCCAGTTTAGTTACTAGTCTGAAGCACATGACCACACAATAAGTCCCTGGACTTATTCACGTTTTCCTTAAAAAAAAAATCTTGAAATTTTTATTTAGTTTATTATGTTGAATGACGTTAGAGCATAATTTGTTACAGAGGTATCCTTTTTTTAATTTCTTTTTTTATATGTTAGGTTTTTTTTGGTTAAAAAAAAGTATATTCTTAGGCCACCATCTGTTAATGAATATGATTGGTGGCACAGAATAAAGAATATTTACTAAATCACATAGAGATTACTTCAAATGCCCTAGATTGAGCAAAATATAAGCATGGAGGTACTTATAAAAATACTACCTAAATCATATAGCGTGCTTCTGTTTATGCCATATATAATGAAATGAATAGCAGATACCTATTACTTGAACTTAAAAGACTAGTGCTTCTTGATTTTAATATAGAATGTAAATCTGTCTTTTATTTCCTAAAGCATGTTATTTTCCTTTCTTTATATGAAAGCAAATTTTGTCTTTTTGATACAGGCTGTCCTGAACTCACTTTGGCCTTAAACTCAAGAGATCTGCCTGCCTCCGCCACTGCTTCTGGAGTGTAGACATTAAGGTTGTACCACCACACCCAGCTTAAAACAGATATTATTAAATATTTCTGTATTTCTATTTAGGCATGAGAAACCTAGTAAAAAAGTATGAGCCACCCAGGTCTGAAGAAGTTGCTGTTCTGAAACAGAAGTTAGAGCGATGTCATTCTGCTGACCTTGCGCTTAATGTGGTTACGTAAGTAGTTATGACTCCAAAGTTATGTTCATAAAGTCATTGAGTTCACTTTATTTAAATTATTTTACTGGTACAAAGTTTTTTAATCTTAGCACCTACCTAAATCAGATATATATATTTCAATTTAGTATACTGATTTTGCTTGTGCCGGGAGTTGAACCCAGGGTCTTGTCCTCATCCCTAGACTGGCCGGCTGGTGTGTAATTTCTAGTGGGAGCAAACACAAGGAAGAAATATTTGGCTTTCATCCCACAGTTCTGATTCTGAACATTACTGTGTAACTTGGCTTTCTTTTCCACTTCATGGAATTACTGGGAGTCAGTCTTCTATGAGAGCCTTAAACTTTCATTTTTTTTTTAACCAACCTTATGGTTGGTTTGAAAAACAAGCATACTGTTTTAGACTTAATCTTTGTTAACTAGTAAGGAAACTTGGCTCATTTCTGTTTGAGAAAACATTGTATCAGAGAACCAATAAAATGGACTGTTAAGTTACTTTCTCTAAGTATAAGAGCATACTTAATAGGCTAATGTGGAATTTACCATAAAATCTGTTATGCTCTGCATAAAAGATCTCGAGATTTAACTCTTTTTAAGCATGTCATAGGAATAATGCAAGTAAAAGAATTTATCTTTTGTGGACTCACTCGAAAGTTCTATTATTTAACATGTAATGGGAATTAGCTGAAGAAATTATTGAAGAAATACTAACAAATATGTATGGAAAGCTGAAGAGCGTAGCAAGGACTTCAGTGCAAGGTAGCCATGACTTAATTCCTTGAATTAAGTGTAATTATTTATAGGACTGTTGTCTTAAAGCTGTGGCTTCCAGTAAATCTTGAAATCTTTAGGTTTCGGTATCGTATTTCTGATATGAAGCCCAGCACCCACCAATCTATTCCCCACCTGTTTTTTTTTTTTTTTTTTTCTAGAAGTAGTTACTAGAACACTGAATGCCCTTTAGTTAATGTAATTATCTTGTTTTCATTCTATGGCAGAAAAGTTAAGTGGCTATGGCAGAAACTCTGTGTGAGTCTCCCTCTTCCTCAGGGATCCTTGGCCATCAGTCCATGAGGGAGGAGGGAGCGAAGCAGGGTTCAGATGGCTGTGAACATGAACAGAAATAGCCTTCCTGGAGACTGCTTCAGTGTTACAGCTCACCTTTATTCCAGAGTAAGACACACATATAAATGGGAACAGCAGCTGGGGCATCACCTCATGTGCATTTGGCAACAAGCTCGTATCAGAGAGCTGGAGCACCATTCCTAGTTATCAAATGGACACACTTGAGGTAGGTAGGTCTGGCATCCAGGTTTAAGGACAGCTTCCTGATAAGGTCAGGCTTCTGAGCCTAGAGCCTATTCAGGTAGGGAGGGAACCCTGCTAGAAAGGGCTCCTCCATTTTGCACTGGGCCCAGAGAGTTGTCTGGACATAGACTGCAGACTTAAGTGCAGGGTACTCCAATTTGTAAGGCCTGAAAACCCTGAAGTACTTACTAACTTGTCCTCCTCATTGGACCATTCAACTACTAATTCTGTTCTAGCTAATAATGGAATGGGTCATCACCCAAAATTTCCAGTTAACAGAGAGTACATTTTACTACATTTAAAGTTGCCATTTGCTTTGTACTCTACCAAGGAAATTATACATTTCTGTGAAAGTGTTTTGAGTATTTCTTTGTATAGGGAGGACTTAAAAATATTACAGACATAGGTTTTTTATAAAATACAACCAAACTTTCTACAAAGTAAAATAGACTTAAAATTATAATTTTATTAGATTTAGTGGTCAAAGTCTGTCAGATTGTTGTGTAGTTTCTAAGTATACAGTGTCTGTTCTACTCATCTCAGTGCAGGCTGAAAACAGTTAATGACACCACCAAGTAGCACTACTTCAGCACAAAGAATTTGTTTTCCTTGATCATTAGGATTTTTGCCTCTATGTTTCATTATACAGTAACTGTATTCTTCTATGTCGCTCATTGAATAAAAACCAAAGTTCCCTTTGAGCAAACTGTAAATCTGAATCATGGCCTCAGAAGTAACTTACCAGATGGGTCTATCCTCTGCCAATCTTTTCTGTGTATAAATGCATGAAATACTTCGTGTGTCCACATCATGCATTTACTATTATTAATCTTACTCTTGCCAGTCTGAGTAAAAAAAAAAAAAGTATCACCTTGATCATTTGCATTTACCCAATCACTATGAATACTGTTTCCAGGTTTGATAGCCATTTAAATTTATTTATTTTTTCTGTATTGGTTCTGATATTCTTATGCTTTCTATATTTTCACCTTTAAATTTTTAGTAGTTATTTTATATACAGTTTTTTCACTACTTTGATACTTACTTACTTTTTTAAAGAAATGCTTATGAATGTTAAGGTTTTCCCCTACAATATTAGTTTTGTGTAGTTTGCTTTTGAATATTTCATGGTTTTCTTAGATGAAATTTTTTATCATAGGTAAATTCAAAGATGTAGCAGTTGATTTATTTATTGTGTTGAGTACAGATACAAGTGGGTGCCTGTGTGTAGGGCAGAGGACAGTCTGTAAGAGTCCTCTTCTTTTTCCATATGGGTTGGGATAACAAACTTAGGCTGTCCAGCTTGGTGTCTAAACCCAGTGAACCTGTCACCAGATGTGTGGGGCCACTTTTGCCTGTCTGCTTTAATCACTGATGTATATGATACCATTCTTAATACCATAGCTTTTATACTGTGCCTTTTTATTGTTGCTAGGTGTGAGACCTAGTGGGCCTCAAACTCTGTCCTCCTGCCTCACCCACTCAAGTGTTCACATTTCAGGTGTGTACCACCACTGGGCTCCACCTCAGTATGCTTTTATGATAACTGAGGCAAGATCTCCCAACACATTTTTCCTCTAGATTCTCTTTGCTATGTTCACTATAAGCTCAGGATTATCCCAAAATCTCATTAGAGTAATTAGTACTGAGTTTTATAGCTATGCTCAGCCTCTTTATAATCTTTGCAGGTTGTTGCTACAATGGGTTAAGTATTGCTTTTTTTTTTTTTTGGTTTTTCGAGACAGGGTTTCTCTGTGGTTTTGGAGCCTGTCCTGGAACTAGCTCTTGTAGACCAGGCTGGTCTCAAACTCAGAGATCCGCCTGCCTCTGCCTCCCGAGTGCTGGGATTAAAGGCGTGCGCCACGACCACCCGGCAAGTATTGCTTTTATAGTCACAAATAATCTCTTTCCAGTTTTTAGTGCCTGTTATTCAGTAAACAAATATTTTTGCTTTTGAAGATTAAGTCTCACTGTGTTAACCTAGGCTAGCCTGAACGTAAGGCAGTACTATTGCCTGTTTGAGGGTTGGCATTATAGCTGTGAGCTACCATATTGGGTTATAGCTCACATGTCCTTGCTGGTTCCTATTTTATATGTTGTCACCATCAGTGTTGCTAATTGCTTAATTATAGGAAGAAGAGGAAAGGCTATGAAGATGATGACTATGTATCAAAGAAATTCAAACAAGAAGAGGTATGTTTACTCCTAAAGGCAAACTTTTATATAATTTTTACATTTTTCTGGCACGACCTAAGTAAAATGTACTGTTCTGGAGTAGTGTAAGCATTATAGACAGGTGGGGCCATGCATGGTTTTTTTTTTTTTTTTTTTTTTTTTTTTTTTTTTGGCGGCAGGGGGTGTTTCTCTGTAGCTTTGAAATCTGTCCTGGAACTAGCTCTTAGAGACCAGGCTGACCTCAAACTCAGAGGTCCGCCTGCCTCTGCCTCCGGAGTGCTGTGGTTAAAGGTGTGTACCACCACCGCCCAGCTCAAGGGGCCATGAGTGTTTTAAACACTGTCCTGTTATGTAGCTCAAACTGGTCTTGATCGCCCAATATTCTTATTTTAGTCCTCCCAACGAGTATCTCTGAAGTTTGAAATTACAATTTTTTACTCACCTCTTTATGTGCAGTCTGAATTAAGAAACAAAACAAAACCAAAAAGAAAATAAACTTTATTTGAAAGATTTATTTTGGGTACCAGTCAGGATGGTTAGAATCCACAGCAGGGAAGGTAAGGCAGAGGGCGAGAGCACTTGCGGCAGTTGCTTGTTTACAGGGTGCTGACCAAGAAGCAGGACATTGGCTGGCTTTTTTTTTTTTTTAAGGGATTTGGTTTTTTTACACTACTGTATGAGCCAGTTCTAAAATTTGAAGAGTCCTTCCTATGTTAGAAGGCAGTGGTGCTAAATTTAATCTCTTATTCTCAAAGGATTCTTCCCCCTTGCCTTACCGCAGTTTTTAAAATTGTCTCTGAAAGTCAAAGATAAATAAGGAGAGGCAAAAGGATAGCCTTCATAGAACTCCTGCTTAGAGTGGGTGGCCGAGTCCTGTCATAAGTCAGGAGCTGAACTTAGTAGCACACTCCTGCAGTCCTAGTCCTTGGGAGGCTGGCTGCAGCCCCAAGAGGTCTCAAAAAATAAATAAATAAACAAATAAATAAATCTACAGTAGACTGTTGTCAATCAGCATTTTCTTAAAGGGAAGTAAAAAGAAAAACTGGCTCACTAATTCAATGGTACCCTTACCACATTTTTTCCCCCTTAGGAGGAATGGACTGATGATGACCTGGTAGATTCTCTCTAACCATCTGAAATGACTACGGCAGTCCTAAGCAACAGAAGTAGGAAGCATGTGTGACATTTAACTTTCTTTTTAGTACAATGTGAAAACGTCAAAATATATTAAACCTTTCTAATTATAGTTTTTGTTTGTGATTGCTTTATATAAAATATAACTTCAAAAGAGCCTGAACACCATTTATTTTGGATAATCATAACTAAGATTAGTAGCAAAATGCCCTCTATGGTGGCCAAAGTCGTACTGTGGTGCGCTTCCTTATGCTGTTTTGAACAAAATGTGATTAAACAAACCTATCCATTTAGAAGAAATTCAGAAAAACCAAACTTAGTAACAGTAAATTTTAGAAGTGCTAAGGAAATAGTTTTCATTCTCCAGAAGGTCTTACAACTGGCTTTTCAAAATGTTTCTTCAATAGACTGAACTATTTATGAATTACTGTGAGATATAGAGAGTATTGGGCAGTTATTTAGTGCTTAGGTGCTAAACCTTATTCTAAGTTAAATAACTTAAGTTACTGACATCTGGGTTTAAATAAAATAAAATTTTTGAGTCTAGATAAAAATCTTAAGTAACCACAGGTAAGTTATAGCAAATTATAGTCAGTTTTATCATTAAATGATTTATAAGTGAATCCATATAAAAAGGCATTACTGTCACTAGAAATTTGTAAATGAAATATTCAAAAGCTTAAAAATGAAATAATATAAAAACCCACAACATGGAATTACATTATTTAGATATACCTTTGTTTTTCTGTGACTTTCATGAATTATACCTCAGTGTACTAGTCTAGCAAGTAGAAAATGGAGATGATCATGATGCCTACTCCTGGAAGGCCTACCCACAGCAGTGCATGTATTTGTTGTTTGTTAACACTGTCGTAGTTTAGCAAGTAGTAGATATTACCTTAGGACCAAAGTACAGATAGGTATGTGTTTATTAGGCCAGTGTTTTGTTTTGGTTTCTGTTTTTTGGCTTTTTCTCTACTCCCCTCCCCCCACGAAAACTCTCTTGAAGAAACTATGAAACTCAGCTACTTCAAATGTAAATCTACCCAGCTTTACATACTCAAGGATACATTTCCCAAGAGGGTAGGTAGCATTTTAGTTCTGTCTAAAATATGGTGATTTATGCTCATGTTCATCTCTAATAATTACTTGTATGGCTTGAGTTTCTGCTGTTTTCTTTCTTGTTCTGGAGTAAAACTGATAAAATGTAATGCTTTTTAATAGACTAAAAACCAAAGCATATACACCCAAGTATAGTTCAAGTTAATCAACATGATAGACTATAGACAGAACTGCAGATGCTCAGTGTGTCTTCTGTTTTTCTTTTAGAACACTAAAGTTTGACACCAAAGCAGGGTTCATATATACCTCTGAAAATTTTCTACCCAGCCCCAGTTTAAAAAAAAAAGTTTCAAAGGTATAATTTCGCCACTAATCACCTAGCTACTACAGGGCCCATGAAGGTAAGAAACAAGCTTCCCACTCCAATTTAAGACATGAACATGTCAGTAAAACACAAAAATAAGGATAAATCTTTCAGATTTCTTTAAAAATAAACGGTTAAAAAGGAGAAGCATGTCAGGAATGGCAGATAGGCCATCATGGCTGAACAGTCAAGTACAATTAGTGAGGATAAACTAAAATGCTTTAAAATAGAGTTTGGACCTTGACCTATCTTTGAAAGTCCTTATCTACATTAAACAGTCTGTAGCCCTTCCACCTTGCAAACCAAGGAAATAAGATGAGTTACGGTCATAGTGCAGCCAATAAGAACAGAAACTATAATGGATTATGGAGAGAAAGGGACTGCATTGATTACAAAGCAAAACACAGTCTGTGATTTTGGGTTTTTTTTGTTTTTTTTTTCCCAGTTAATCTGGCTGAAGCTAAATAAGGGCAGTAATTTAGCTTTATGGCTACATTCAGATCCATATTTAAGCCAGGGAAATCTCTCAATGGTAGTATTTAACACCTTTCGAAAGAATACATTGAGGCCTCTTCAATTTGTTCCTCACCAAAGGGAAATAAACCCTTGATTATTTAACCTTTCACTATATACAGTATCTCTGAGGAATGCAATCAAATATTTTTGGAATCTAGGCCTTCAGGAAAACATTTTTATTGAGGGAACATTTTATTAATACCTTCCTTGGTGGTTCTTTTTAAACAAACAGGAACCTATTTTGATTACTAAGGACAGTCTGATACATATTGTTTTTTTTTTTTTTTAAGTCTTCAGCACAAGACACATTGCTTAACAAGTTGTACACTGAGTGAATAAATAAAATCCTTTGTGAAAGAAACAATAAAAATCCTCCTGGGCTTTATTCTGATATTAAAGCTTGAACTATCCCTAAGCAGAAAGAAAATTAGAATGAAGTTAAATAGTAAGATGATTAATTATGCAAGCTATCCCTTGGTTTATTTTAACTTAACCCTGTGGATACTTCACAAAAAATACAAACATAAGAACAGATGAACTATACAAACTAAATTATCCAGCAGTAAAACACGTACAAGAAGTTCAAAGATGTATAAGTTGTTAAGTGGTTGATGAGGTTGTCTGCATAATACAGTAACAAAAAAAAAAAATCTTAGGATAGACACAAGTATTCTAGCAGTTTGTCTAAACATAAAAGACATCAGTAATTTATAAAATGGTCAAATGGGTAACATGCATTGATTGGTACAATGACCAATAATATTTATTGAATTTAAACTATTTACTTGTTGTAAACATTTTAACAAAACCATGAAATCTAAATACAGTCTTTGACAATTCCAACAAAATAAGTGGTATGTTTAAAAAATAAAGCTGATGAGCATATATTCATCATCCATTCTATATATTGTCTTTCAACAGTTCCAGGAAGAATAGCACAGTATTTTTAAAAAGTATACAGCAAGATTGTTCCTATTATAATGTCAAACTCTGGAAACTGTAAATACAAATAAATTCAGTGAACAGTCAAATGGTCATATTCATAAGAAGTAAGAACAGTCTGCAATCCAGTTAAATTCTGTTGTCAATAGAATGCGTTTTCTTGTCAGTTGATTTCATAGTTCGTTTTCCAAAAGACAACAAAACTTTGGCAATTGGATATATTGAAAATATATTCTCAAAGTTCAAGACATAGCTTTTTTTCTTTATTGTGAAAGTTGAACTGTACACCAAGGCTCAGAGTTTGGTAAAGATTCCATGTGGAAAAAGTGCAAATATTCTGCACAGATAGCTTACAAAGGTGCTGGCAGTTACTAGCCAGCAGAATCTTGGGTTTTTGTTTGCATAGCTTACACATCACTGGAATGTGGAAAGGTGTGCTAATTTTTTTCTTTCTCTTTTTTTTTTTTATTTATTTTTTGGCAAGAGCAAAGGAGACATAGTGATGTGAATTCCCATGTTGGGGTGCTGATCCATGCAGAACACCAGGCTGCTACCTGACATCATTGGTTTTTGTATACTGGTTTTGTTTTTGTTGAAGCAGTTCTGTTATAGCCAGAAGTTTTTTCAGTACATGCTAGACACAAAGAAAAACAGTGTGAGTAAAAATCATTAAGCAGAGTGCAAAATTTCAATGCAGAAATTTTATTTTATTTTTTTTGTTTTTCGAGGCAGGGTTTCTCTGTGGTTTTGGAGCCTGTCCTGGAACTAGCTCTTGTAGACCAGGCTGTTCTCGAACTCACAGAGATCCGCCTGCCTCTGCCTCCCGAGTGCTGGGATTAAAGGCGTGCGCCACCACCGCCCGGCCAGAAATTTTAATTTAATAAAAACTATGTCAAACCAATGGGATTCTTAAGGACCTAGCATTCTACTCCTTACATAAAACTGAGTTCTGAATACTTAAACTTAACATTTTTAGTTGTAACCAAGAAAGAGACAATCTTATATCACTTTATATTTGCCATTATAAACCTCGGTCATAAGCTGCTTTAAGTGAAATCTTCGCCAGACAGGAAAGGAGTGCAGTGGTAGCATTTAGGATGTATGTACCTTGATTTATACTTCCCCTGTGCCTGTAAGCTCAAGAAAGACTGTCTCCAATGACCAACACTAGGTCAGTTAGAAACCCTTTCCAGGTCTAGTGCTTATTTGAAATACCCCTACATCTGTTGGTAAGGACAGGAGAAATCTATTATGGACTAATATTTTTTTAAGGTGTGACCTATGATCCACACCAACTTCAATCATTATAATAAAGTATCATCTGTAGACATTTTTCAAAATTCTCATATATTTCTCCTGTGTCTGACAAGTAACTTTGCTCATGTATACTTGGTGTGAGACTTAACTGAAGGATTAACACGCCTTCCTTCTGAAAATAATTTACTTGGCACTTTTATTTGTATCACTTGCCATTTTTATGTGTACTATCTTAAGTATAAGCATTACCATTTTGTAATGACCTACCTGCTGTGCACCACGCTCATTACTGAGTGTTCTCAGTTCATCTGAATGAGCTACACAAATCTCATGCAGGGCTGCTAAGTCACGAGACAGGTCAGTTCTAGAATGTTCTGTAGTGTCCGGAAGTTCAGGTACATTCTTTAAGGAAATCATAAAACTGCATTTAGAAATCCTTGAAGTCTTTTCTAAAATTATCCTAACTACATAAAAGCATTGATTTTCCTAATAACTTTTATTCAAATAATTTTGCTAAACAGGTTTTAGAACCTCTATTCACAAGGAAGGAAGCCAGATTCCATACTCTTCCATAGGATGACAGTATCTTGAGTTGATTTTTTTAGAGCATATGTCAAATAAATTGTAACATCGTTAATTGCTGATTTGGATTAATACAATTTCAGTGCTTAGACTGAATAAAACTAAGATACTGTATGTAAACTGATGAGCATCTAAAGAGGAACTACATTAAAGTGTAATAAAGGGTTCCTTTGCAATTTCTGTAAACTACTCAAGATAAAAATGTGGGATCACTGGGTTTATAGTGTTTAACATTCGTGGAGTAACTTAGCCATCATAATAAGTTTAGATTACTATATTACCTTAAATGCCAGTAATATTTTAGGCCTTAAACACTGAACAGGTTTATTAATCTTAAATGTATTCTACTTTTTAGTGATAGTGCTTGTTAGACACTCCTAAAAGTTGAAGAGCATTTTAGTTGTTTGAAGTGAAGAAATAATTCAAGTGCATTCATTTTAACTGAATCACTTACTTATTTGATAGGTGATTTGATAAAAAAAAATTGTAAGATGAAACACATTACAATCTTGCTTACCTTCACAGAGCTTGAAGACTGGTAGAAACAACAAAAAGTTCAAAAAAAACTGACTAACTATATTTTTATCAGAAATACTCCAAATGGAACTTTCATAGGAGTTTACTCAGAAGTTTCTTATAAATATGGAGCTTATTATATTGTGCTTACTTGCACCCCCCTTTTTTTGTCAGAATGGTTTGATAGTGGTGACATGTGCTTTGAAATGAATCACTGAGTTGGGATATACTAATGTATTCCAAAACATAAGACAACCCCGTCTTCAATAATTTTGATGACATAAACCTGGCGCAACACAAATTTTTCTCTGTGTACACACACTACAATATGAATATATTTGTTTTAAAATTCATTCAGTCCTTGAAATGTATCTTTGGAATGATGTAGAAAATTTAACTTACTATTTAGGGTCTCAGAAATTATAAACATATTCTTTAATTTTGTGTCATAGTTTTATTTATAAAAGTTCAAATGAGTTTTAATAATTACATTTTCATCTAGTTCTAACTTTAGGTTCCAATCTAACTGGCTTCAAATTTTATTTTAGCTACAACTTAAAAGAATGAAAAGATGATCTAAAATATGACTGGTTGAAAGCCACAATTGTGTATGCCTGTATAAGCCATTTATGCAAGAATGAGTGCATAAAAAAGATTTTACTTTGAACTTCTGATTTTAAAGTCTAAAGGTTATTGCTATATGACTAAATTCTCAAAAAGTGTGAAAATTATATACATACCCCAAGTTCATCTAAAAACATGATCATGCGATGTTTATTGCTTTTGATGAATGGATTAACACCTTCCATATAAGGTTCCTAAAAAATTAAAAAGACAGGCCTCATAAGCCTTAACAAAAACTGTTTTACAACAACTATCCATAAAGCAAGAATTACTATATGAAATTTGGTAGAGTTAATTACAAATCAGAAATCATTTAACATAGCTTGGCAGAAACAAATTATTTATAATATTTAGAATTTATTATTGATGAATTATGAAGAATCCAACATATTGTAGGAAGTTAAAATACAGTGAAACAAAAAATTCCCTATGATTGCAATGGGACAAAATATGCCATGGATTTCAGATAAATTCAAAAGTGTTACAATTTATAGGTAACACAATATCAACTATAAATCTCAAATGTAATAAGGTTCAATTGGAAATTCCAAAGATGTAGGCATGAAATTTCTAAGACAAGTAATAAAACATAAAGAGATTAACTTGGGGGCTGGAGAGATGGCTCAGCATTAAGAGCACTTGCTGTTCTTGTAGAGGACCAAGGTTTTGTTCCCAGCATTCATATGATGGTTCCTGTCATGTTGCAGGAAATCTAGTGCCCTCTTCTGGCTTAAGTGAGCACCAGGAACACAGCAGTGTACTTATATGCATGCAGGCAAAAACAGTCATATACATAAAAGTAAATCATTTTTTGGAAAAAGAAAAATTACTGAATTTGGCAAGAAATTAAGAGGAAATTGCCTATTTAGGCAAAAGCCTAAAATGTGTATTTAATTATTAATTATACCCCAAAGTTTTGGATCAATCTGAAAGGAAGTATAGAGAATACATTACATCTGAATATCTGACAGAGGACAGCATACTAACTAGTGGTTGGTAAGAGAGCAGTACATACTTGTGAGTTGGACAAGGAGTTACAAAAGAGGTAATTGTATTATTCCAGTATTTACATAGTACACTGTTTTGAAGATCGAGTACGTTGATTGTGAAATAAAAAAACCATTTAAAATGTGGTCAATGAATTTTAAACATCAAAATATGTTTACCTTAGCTCCAAATTCCACAAGGTTTGCTAAATTCTGCACAGACTTAGCCACTAATGTCAGTGTTCTTGCAGCAATAGGAGATGGGGAATCTAGAAGAGAATTTGGTACAACTAATGACACCAACTCCAAAGGTGCATTGAGATAAACCATTATAAATTTTAGCATTTTTCTTTACTCTTATGCACTAACAATCCTTTACTCAAAATATATTCAGAATAGTCAAAAAAAAAATGACCTTAAGTTCCAAAGAACTTAAGTTAAAAGGAGAAAAAACAGAACACATTTTTAAGTGCTTCTTGTTTTGTGAACTACAAACTTGACTGATTCCCAACTGGTTTATAATATTTCAGAATACCTCAAAAAGCTGCTTTATTGCTAAGAAGATTGTCACTCTACAAACCTTTCAGAACCATTCACAAGGCTAATTTCAACCCACTTAGGGAACCATTTTGTAATCTTAGCAGTTCTCTGCTTCTAACATTAATAGTTCACTTGAAAGATCAGTTTTCAAGCTACCAAACCAGAAACTGACAATTAACCCCCCCCCCCCCCCCCCGGGCCTTATTTCTCTTATGTCCTATATGCTGTTCTTAAACTCAGTCTGAGACAACCTTGAATTTCTAACCTCCTGCCTTTTCTCCTTCCTGAGTTTCATCAGGTACGAAGCATTGAACCCAGGGCCTCATGTATGCTCTGCCAGCATTCTACCAACTAAGTTACATTACCACCAAGATTAATAACTTCACATCTTATATTCTGACTCACTGTTTTAGACTGTGTTGTAAAATTTTAATTCACATACTGTTGAAGTAGCAATGAATAAAACCCTCAGAACAAATTCTAAGCCTTTCATTTCATTTTCTAAAACTTCAGTGTATTTGTGTGTGGATATGTACAAATAAATGCAGCTACCCACAAAAGGGAGAAAAGGGTGTCTGATCCTTTGGAGCTGGAGTTTTGGTGGTTGTGAGCCACCTGACATGGGTGTTGGGAACTGAATTCTGTATAAAGGGCAGTATGTGGTGAGGACCATCTCACCAGCCCATCTTTATTCTTAATATGCATGTATTCACTTACTTTAGTAGTTATAGACATGTGAGGAGTATGAAACTAAAATTAAAATATTGAAAAAAAGTCTTTTGTTTGTTTTTAAGATCCAGGGAACTCTCAGACTCAACTTCTTTCATGATAGGTACACAGCACTGTGTTGAGTGACATGGTCTACCTATATAGTCCAGGCTGGCAATGACCTTTCTTTGTGCCTTAGCCTCCTAAGTTCTGTGAAATATATTCCCAGCTCAAATAATTTTTAATACAGCTTTGAGCTTCAAATTATTAGTATAAAAGTGATTGTTTCTTCCCATTAATATTAATTGGCTCATTACTACATTGAAGTTATATTAATAGTTTTCCCTTCATAAGCTTACAAATCTGCAAACTTGGACAAATGAGTAAAAAGCAAAATGGGACCAAACTTATTAGAAAATAAAATGGTGAATTAATATTACATAACTGGAAGAATCTGGTCTACCTTCTTTGTTAAATGTTCACTGATGCATCTTAAAAAAGTTCAGCTTACAGCAACCTGATGTAGACTAAGGACAAAAGAGGACTCCTATCCTGTAAACGCTCTAAGTGTGAGAGCCAGTAACATATCTCAGTGCCACCATGGTAGCCTGCTGACCTAATTTCAATGCCAGGCACTCAAAGAAGTTGTCCTGTGACACCTGTACACACATCATGGCAAGCAAATGCCTGTACATATACACTCGTATGCTTAAAAAAAAAATAACACAAACTAAAGTCACAGGAACAGAAAAAAATCCAACATGTTGGATACTAAAAGAGTAAAGAAGGCAGGGGATAGTGCATTACTGAGCATTGATTTAAAGTGCAAGTATTTTTTTCAAATGTTACGGAAGTAATGAAGCTTTTCCCATTTCCAAGTTTATTAAAAGGTATTTACCTGAAATGATATTAAACATCCGTGGACTCAGGATAGCAGGGCAGATAAGCCGAAGAAAAACAAAACCACTAATTGGGAGGGAAAATTCTTTTAGAAAACTGTATGTTTACAATATAAACATAAAATATTTAAACTTAGAACCACAACCTTTATTTCCAACATGGGAAAGCCTAAACACAGTCATGAAGAAAACTGTACGGCAAACATAATTTCAGAATTACTTTGGAAATACTTGTTTATTGCAGATTAGTAATTTGTTTTATCCTGGTAAGTACTGTATTAAAACACTGAGAACTGCTGAAAGATTAGGAGGATTCAAATAATGTTTTATAGATAGAGAAGGTTCCAAATTACCCACTTTCTTGCTGTCTTTTTAAAGTTTATTTAAACAGAAAAGTGTGAATTAAGATGATTGTTTCACTATTGCTGCCGACTTATATAGACATTGGAATATGCTGTAATTATCAAAGAATCCTTGATAAAATTCATACAATAAAGTTCTATAGTTAATGTAAGCTTATAGATACCCTACTCTGCCTCCTTCCATCAGTAGTATTAAGTATATGTTGTATAAATTTTTACTTTTTAAAAAGAATCTATGATAATAAGTAACCTTACAAAGCATTAGTCCCCAGAGTTTATATAAAATTCCTTACAGCAATTAATAACTGTACAATTTGATATTTCTTCTTAAAGAAAGTTCCTATATAAGGTTTACTGAAAATATTTTGATACCTAACTAGAAACCTAAATTGAAAACATTGACCCATTAGTAAATTTCAGTGAAAATGTTATTTTTGAATTTTAAGGTGATTTTAAATTAAATAATACATTGACAGTACTTAATTTAAAAGCTTATTATTAGGAAGAGAAATCACCTTAGGCATGAAAAACCTCTAAAGCACTTTGTCACATTAAATTCAATTAAAGGATTCTCTGCTGTACTATTAATGGTTACACATTTAAAACATGTATTATACACAACAGTTTAATGTCCACCATACACAACTGCTCAAATAGTATGCTTGTAAATTTTCTTTCTTCCTACAATTGTTGCATGTGTCTTAGTGAAGTTAACTAGGAGGGGTTTGGCTAGCCTATTTTATTCAGAGGTAGGAATCAAATCCAGGAGCTCTGAGTGTTAAACTAGTGCCTTACCTCAGAACTATGCCCTTGGGCCACTAATAGAAATTCTGTCTGCAAGATAAGTAAAAGCCTCCTGACAAAATTTACATCAGAAATGTGTTCTTAAAATTTATATTTTACACGTAATGTGACTGGCAATGTACATTTTCTATAATTACTAGAAAACTGTATTTGATGCATTTCTACTAAATTTCTCACCACTTTGTACTGGCTGAGGTATGCTTAACAAAATCTTTGAACAATATTAATATATTAGGTAGTCATAGGAATTTTGCTTTAGTTCTGCATGGTTCTTAACCGTTTGTAACTTAAGCAAACAATTTAAGTCCATATATGTGCTCTCAAATTAGCTGCTAAAGCAGTTCCTGATGTATGACAAACAGACTAAATGAGAGCTAGAATGTATAGTTGGAGATTAGCTTGGAATCACAGATGTTTCAAATCAATTAAAATCGAGATGGTTCAACTACTGCACTTCTCCAGGCACCAATTTCCTGTCTCTGCCTACATACACAAATCAGTGTATACTGCATACAGTGACTACGACAAATGGCAAGTGACTCTTACCTAACAACTCTTGTTCTCATGGTGTTATTTGTAGGCCACTTACGCTGAACAGATTTCTGCAGACACCCATAAATATATCTCAGTGTCCTGCCAAAATAAAAAGAATAACATAAATATCTCAATACAGAAAGTTAATAACATCATCATAATGGTAATTTACTGGCAGCCAAAATTTTAATTTACCCAACCAATATACCATATTTTAATTCATTTGACCTTCTCATCTAAAAAAGGTATTTTGTCAAAAGTAAAAGAAGCATATTTAGTAACGGGTGTAGAAACATAATGCAATATGTTTGGCTCCATTGATTTTAACTTCTGTTAATGAAAACTATGAAACAAATTATTAAGCATGAGAATATAGAGGAATTAATGTGGCACATATTCTACTATTTTGACTTCTTCCATCTAAACAAGTGAGTCTACTCACACTGACTTGTAAGCAAACACGATACTGGTATCTTGTGTACATACTTGACTTTGGTTTTTCTTTCCTGGGAATCTAATGCTAGGCAAGAACTAGAAACTAGATTTACAAATATTGCCCTCAGATCTGAGACATGTTATTCATTATCTAAGCTACAATATATGCCAGGCTTACTCAGTTCATATGGACATACAGTTTATGTGTTTCTATTTTCCTCTTTTGTGAGACAAAATCTTGCTATGTGGCCGAAATTCATCATCATCTTGGATTATCCACTTCAATACTGAAAATACAGGCAGGTGCCATGAAGTCTATATTTTACTCTGGCTTTTTAAACCATTATTTCACTCATCTATTCTTTTTTCCTTAAACATAATCCATCTTTTTTGAGAGGAGATAGAGGTTTCTCTGTGTAGACCAGGCTGGCCTCAAACTCAGATCTGCCTGCCTCTGCCTCCCAAGTACTGGGTATTAAGGCATGCACCGCCACATCCAGTTCATAATCCATTTAAGGACTAAAAACCTCTCATACCAATACCAGTAACACTAATAGAAAGCATTCTTTAATAGAAAACACAGATGCATTAATTTTTGGCAAACAATCTGACAACTTACGGTGGGAGTATTTCTGAAGCCATGAATATTTTCTCCACAAGCTCTGAAAGTATGTTCAATAGGTGTGCTAAATTAGTGTTCACATCTTCATTCTTTTCTAACTTTGATGGACTTAACTAAGAGAAGGAACAAACCAATACAAATTCATTTTGGTGACGATAGACTCAGGTAAGTCACGGTAAATGTGCAGTTATTTTTTTCAAAGATGTCAGCTGCTCCCACATACGCAAATTCCATTCATTCTGTCACTCAACCAGATAGTAAGCCACTCATTTCTAATTATCTGAGGAAAAAACTTTTTAATGAGGTTCAAAGTAGTGGCTAAGATAGCCTAAATGTGCAAATAGAATCACGAACACTTAGAATTTTTCAAGGACAACACTCCTAATTTCTGTTTTCTGATATGCCAGATGTACCTAAAAATCTGAAATACTTTTGTCAATTCTCGTAGTAATTACTGGATTATCCTCAGCTTCTACCAATAAAACACTCATTTTGTTATGGCAGAATTAACATTTGACAAGTCCAAGTGTTACCAAGTACTTCCTTATTTTACTGACACACTCTCAAGGCTTGTGTGATAACAGTCTTCCTTTATAATTGCTCTGTAGCACCCATCAAGTAGAATAGTTACATAAGCAGGATTCTGCTTATGACTGTATAGTTGCTTATAAACTTGCACTAAAACCTTAATCATCTTTGAAATAACTCATAGAGACCTCTATGGAAAAGATGTTACACTTACAAGTTTTTCCTTGAGTTTGACCTTGCATGCCAACATAGTACTACAAATGGGAAACTCCACGTCTGACTTCACATGATAGGCCCAAAGCTAACACAAGCCTCCTAGAACTCGTGTAAAATTATCTTCAGTCATAAATGAATTTTATGTGTAGACTTAGGTACCATTCTCAAAGTTGTATATATGAAATAGTCCCAAAATCTTAAAGTATTTTTTTGGAATATGATACTCAATATGAATAACAAAAGTCCCTGAAGAATGTTCAATTTATGTTACACACATTTTCTTAAAGTAAGGTAAACTCGATCATTAGTAGAAATAAAGAGAAATGCCAACAGAGCTGTGAGTGCATGCACGGTTATGGGGTTTTGTGTGTGTGGAGGGGATTTAAATTTATTAGAGAGGGCATAACTGCACTGACAAATTTAGAAATGATGTACTTTCCCAAAGCTGTAATTTGTTAAGTTCTAATTAAAATTTGCCAATTGCAGCAAAGATTAAAACAATAAACTCTTACCTCACATGATTGCTTGCTTTCCATTATTTTTAAAATGGAGTCTTTCAGAGCATGATGAACAAATTGTGTGGCAGTGGCTTTCATATACTGCTCCATCAAGGTACTAGCAAGTGTTGTAGCTCGAAATAGGGTAGTGGCTTCATCTACACAAATATGAATGTTAGATGATACTTAGAAAACTGTACTAATACAACTAAGTTGGAATTTTTTTTTTTGGTAACACACTTTTCACATAAATATTAATGAGAAGAAAATGAATACATTAAAAGCTGTGAAAACCACAGTGATATGTACCTTAGCCTCAGAACTGCTACAAAATCTAGAAATAAAATACTCATAAACGTCCCAGTAAAACCTGAGGTAATGATAAATACTATGTACGCTATTGTTGATACTCACACACTGAGTCTGGACAAAGAAATCATTTTCTTACAGCTTCTAATACTTAATTTTCCATGACAGAATTAGAAATAGCAACCCATTCCCATATTAAACAAAGAATCTCAGATACTTTGTAAAATGACTTAACAGTTTAATATATTTAAAGACAGACCCCACATGTTTGATACATAAAATCGTATTTTTACATTTCTTTAAAAAAAATTACACATCCATATTACCTTCCATACTTATCTCTCTGTCATTTAGTGTGCATAACAACAATGATTCAAGCTTTTCATGAAGAAAAATCTTCAGTAGGATGCTGGCAAGTAGTGTTCGGTCTTGTCCACATACATGTGATAAAGCATAGACTACATGAAGTTCCTTTTGTAGTATAAGCTAAAAAAAGACACCAAAAAAAGAATGCTGAAAGTACACAGCATTATGTATCCTTGGGGACCAATGGGAAATATATGTAAGATTAAGTGGAAGAACATAATTATTGAATACAATTGATAAAATGGAGTAAGTACGTAGCGTATATATTTCTAGCCTTGTGAGATCAAGATCATACATGTTTTTTTTTTTTTTACCTCTGGTTACTAGCGTGGTACTAATTTAGGACATTACTATTTAGCTTATTGGATTTTTATTAAATAGTTTAACATTTATATTTATTGTTATTAAAATAATTAGACTTCTAAATAATACCTCTTTAAATTCACTGTATTCTTCTTCTGGCATGATTTTTTCCATCGAGTATCGTGCTCGAACACGCAGGGATCCTGGTTCAATACCTTTTAGTGGTATATGGGAGCTGAGCAGAAACCATTCATCTGTGGCATGTCCTTTCTGTAACCTGCTCAACTGGCAACGCATAAATACTACAAAGAAAAACCACTATGGTCATACAATTACATTTTCTCAATACACTTTCCTGTAGTTTTAAATGCTTTTCATTAAGCAAGTTTTCAATAACAAAGTCAACACTTAACTGCTTACTTTTTCCATTTAAAGGCCTGCTATGTGACATCTGTCATAGGCTAGGGATATGGGATTAAGAAATGATTAAGCCACAGTGTCTGACGTGCGTGGAAAATGTCTTAAGCTATCAAAGAGGGTGCAGTGTAAGTGCTACAACAGTAAATAATACTTTCAGACACAAGGATATGTAACAGCCTAGGGGAGATAAAAATCCATTGCACAGGAACCTGTGAGTTGAGTTAGCTAGGTCAGGTAAAAAGGTAGAGCAATAAACACCACAATCAAAATAGGAAGTATGGCTTTCTTTCTGTGCCATTACTAGAACATTGTCATACAAGTAATGGAGAAATACTTAAAGATGTAAGCAATTACAGAATCAACATTTTATTCAGCTTCTGGTTTTGGTCTGTGTCTGTCAGTCTTTATCACTGTTTACTAAAGCAGCCTAAGTTGTAAGATGGCATTAACCTATTTCACCCTGATATGAATCACTATATTCCACTGCGATCTGTCCTACCAACAGAACAGGAAGATGTGTCCTGCTCGGAGTAGGAACAGAGAGCATTGAATGTTACAACAAATAAATGGCACACCTCAACATTCTGTGTCTTATTTCTTTGCAGGACTAGGGATTAATTTCCAGGTCACTGCAGGCTAGACAAACACTACCACTGAGCTGCAACTCTAGTCTGTAACAGAACCTTTTGGATTTGAAGTGTAGGAAGTAAGGGAATCTAAAAAAAGGAAAGAAGATAAAAAATGATTCTTGTCCTGTTCTCTGGGTAAGGGAAAGCATATTTGCATATCTGAAATTGTAAGGACTACATCCAGCACATTCACTTTAGCCATTTTGTTCTATCCTTCAGTCTCGGGACAGCCAATGTCTAGTAGTAGACTGCATAGCATTTGTCTCCTCTGCACCGTAGACATTTCACATACATGTTCTAAAAATACATACAACATGCTTTCATTACTTTAGAAAGCTTGAAATCAACTTACAGATATCTGGATCTTTGCTTTTCTTTGTTTTATTACTAAGCGTGATTTCAAATCTATTGATGTCAGGAGGAAGATCACTAAAGAAGGAGAAAAATTAGAAAAAATGTTCTAGTATCAAACTACCTTATTTTTGTTCAAAAATGCATTGTGTAATACTTAAAACAAGATTTACATTATTTGTTACACAAGAATGTTGATAAATATACATTTTCTTAAAACTTCCTAAAATAATAATAATCTCTTAAAACAAGATCTAGAAAATATAGAAAACTTTTTGTCATCACTTTTCTGTAGTCCATCTTTATTAATGAAGATGAAGAAATCCAACAAAAAATATTAAAACACCTAGAAAACAACAGAAACTTAAACAGCATGAGGAAAATAGGACTCTAAGAACGGATTAATATGATAAAATAGGACTTACTCAAAGACAAACTCCTCTGACCATACTGGGTTTTGCCCCTCCCTTGCATGAGTTTTTGCTACTTGGACGCTATTCAGGTAGATGTTACAATATGGATTAGTAAAGTGTTTTACTGGGAGCTTGTGGGCTTCTTCAATATGTAAAACAAGGCTGCTGACCTAAAGAGAACACAAAAATTCATACCCATCATTTCAAGACCTATATATAAACGTGAAAAATAGTGACTTGTTTTTCTTAGTATTTAAAAAAACATAAACTTTGCTAATCAACTGTCACCACCCATTTCCAAACTCCAAATATGCTTATCACAAAGATTTTACTACTCTAAAAGAGTCCCTGGCTAAGATGTTTTTAAGACACTGATTTTAAGGATATGTATTCCCCATATGGGTGCCAGAGAAGTTCACCTACCTCCTACTCTTCAACACTCTCTCTACCATCAGCAAATGTGTCAAATGTAAAAGACTGCATACATGCTATGTTGTATTAAGGATTGAAAACAATCCTTAAACCCACAGCAGATTAACTTAGCTATCAAAGGGGATAGAGATATTGGCTGTTATTATATGTGTACAAAGATATGTGACAACTTGTATATATTAAATAATTATTTGTGTATGCATGTGTGTATCCTTGGGATAAAAGTCAGGGTTTTTGTTACAAAGTATTTAGTTACCTAGTAACAACTGTTTTATATGTCCATGAAACAGGCTGTTAAATTCAACAAGCTTACTGGAAATTCACAGGGGCCATTTTGCACTTACACACTGTCTTAACTTTCTTCAAAATTCTAACCACATTAGAGTTTGACTATTTCCAATTATCTAGAAATCACTTTAATGAAACAACGAAAGAAAGATGTGAAGACCAAGTAATAAGGGATAAGTCAGTTATGGTGGGTGGCTCATTCTTTTAATCCTAGTGTTCAGGACACTGGTGCAGGAGGATCACTGCAATTCTAACCCCAGCCTAGGCTACACACAAAACCCCTACCTCTAACGGGGAAAAAAAAAATTAAGAAAAAGGTAATGATGCAGTACATATCTAGATAACAAAACGACTTCCTGTAAACAAAAGTATAAACAAGGTTCATGTTTTAGTTCCTAAAAATTGTCTAGTTAGTCTCAAAAACAACTATATCATAAAAAACAAGTTTTAAGGATACTCCTGTGAGTATGATTAACTCTTCAGAAGTACCTTTCATTGATTCTACCTGAGATAATTTTCCAAGTGGAAAAAAGGTGCACAAAGCTAGGGTGCCTTGCTTTGGGTTGTTCTGTTAGGAGCTGGCGCAGCAGACTGGAAGCAGAGAATGTACATAAAGAAGTCTCTTTCACAGAGCAACTGCTACCAAGTCAAGCACTGACAGCAAGGCATAGAAATGTTGGCAAAAAAAGAACAAAGTGATATGAAAATAAGAATGTTGTAAGTCAGACACAATGAAGTTTCACCTGACGAAGACGTTTATTAGATGTCCCTGGGCTACTTTTTCGTAAACTGCAAAATGCTTGCAAACCTTTCATCCAATCCTACAAAAAAAACAAAAACAGTATTGCAAAGAAATATATATGAGTTTATCCAATTATCAATTTACTTTCTTTATATTTAATTATTTCCATCCCTAGACTGCCATTTTGAGTCTCAGAATATAATAAACTGTAATTTTCTGTCTCAGCAAAACGAAACAAGAAACAAAACAATATTAGTTCTCTCACTCTAATACTTAAGGGTCAATGTAGGGTTCACAGTGATACAGTCATGCAGTTCATATTCAGGGCTGAAAGATAGGTTCTACTGCCAACAAAGCCAGTCACTCACTTAATTCTGTTTGTTTTTCATAGAGTCTCCTCAGAAAAGTCATATTTGTACAAAATATATTTAAACCCTGCAGAAATATTACAACTAGCTGGCTTGCTTCTGGAATATATGGAGGATGCCTCTAACTTATGGAAATATAATTATTTGTAAATGATTAGTTTCAACTGAATTCACAGAGTATTTAATGGTTAATTTTAAATGGCACTTTTTATATCTAATAACCCTTCACTGTGTTTTGTTAAAGAAAAAAGTAACAACAACAACAAAAGCTTGGACAGTTTCTCACTTGTTAGAGTATTAAGATTCCAGACATACTTTCTTAACACTGTCCCACAGTAGTTTTCTTCCCTAGTTAATAAAGTTAGGCTAGCACAAAGATCTCAGCAGTTCAGGAAACAGTGATCTTACCTCTGCTTGTTCTGGAGTTTCTCCTGCAAAGTAAAAGATGTAATGTTCTTCACTAAAGTGTTGAACTACTATCTGAAAACAGTTTGGCCTTGGAACACAAACAAAAAAAGTATTAAGAAACTTAAAAAAATTATTAAAGTATTTATACCAGCTTTAAAAACACACCAAATGATTTAAGATAGTCATAATTATTAATTTAGAGAAGTAGGTAATTAATTCTGCCAGATTAAGATGCCACATGCATATGTATTATAAAATTGAAATTTCATTAGTTATTCAAGGTTTAAACTAAAACGCAATATAAATTAATATTAAGATATATCAAAGAAAAAAGTAAAAAAAATAAGTAGACTTTCTAGAACTACACATAACTTATATGCAGAAACTGTACATGCACTGAAAAGTAAAAATGTTAATATTATTAATTAACTATTATTAATTATTAAGGAATTAAAAATATTAATGCTTGTCTCTAAACAGGCTGAAGGTGGTTTGAAAGTTCTTTTCTGTAGTTTTCTATTTTTTTTTTTTTACAAACTTGATCATTTTTTTCACTAAGTCAAAAAACACCATCTCCCTACATCACTTGTTCTGAAGGTTAATGACATAGCAGGTATCATACAATGTTTGTTCATGTCTTCCCCTAGTATGAACTACTACAAATAATTTGTCAAATAATTTTATAATACCTAATAATTTGTATCTGTTTTGCAGATGGGCTGACTTTACAGTTAAACTGGATAAATCTTAATAAAATGTTTAACAAGGAAGGGCCTTTTTAAGTTTTCAGAACTCCCTAAGTATTACTTCTATATTATTTTAGACGAATAATTTTTATCATGTATACTTGTTTAAAAAGTTAAAACTTTTTTATGCTTGGGAAGATTATGAAATAATGGAAAATGTGAACTGAGAATTTGATCTGAATTAGTCTGAATGAGATCAACCCTCAAGACTAGAATAACAAATGGCCATGCCATGTGAAGATATACCGAACAACCAACATTGGGAAATCTGAAGGGAAAAGCTCATTTCAAGGGGAGTTTGACTTTCCCCATATTGTTTCCTTTTCAACCCTTCAAAGCTATTGAGTCTGAGGTCAATGTGTCAAAGAAAAAGTAGCATGTGAAATGATAGACCAAAAATCCAAGCTTTCCAGAGTGACTAGAGAGGAAAGTGAATCTCAATGGTCCTTCAAAAATGAAGCTTTCATGCTAGACCCCTAATGTTGACTGTGTCTTCACATAAGGAAGGCTGCCTTCCCAACCTTGAACTGTCTTCACTTGACCCCCAAAGGCTTTAAGAACAGTGTCTTCTGGAACCGGTAGCATTACTCACAGCTTTTCACACAGAACATCCATCCTTCATTCAGACAGAAGCATGTATTATAAGAGCAAAGTGCTGCGAAGAAGCAATGGAGTGCCTGCTCAGCCTTAGAACACCAGTGATCAACGGCAGAGACTCTACCAAGGTTTAGGGAATATCACAAAGAGCAAGGAAAATATAATGGGAAAGGAGTGTTGTAAAATGCTGCTCTCTTGACATGGCATTGTGGTTGCACATAACCCATAGCAACAACAGTAGAGTTACCTCCTTAAAACCTGCACAAATCAAACCAGTTAAAGATTCCAGTATGTAGCAGGAAGGGCTCCCAAAACCCTACTCCTAGCTAAGGAACTACTAGTAGTTAATGGTTATAGGGAAAAGAGGGTTACTTTTCTTTATAAGTGTGGCCCAAGTGGAAGAGGCCATGCTCAGTTTCATATGGGTAACATTAATTAGACTCAGTGGGTTAAAAATCTTTTTAAATGTCTACAGAAAACTGCCAAAGAAAAATTTAATATCCACTGTAATAGCTTTCCTTTTAAATTACATTAAAAATGCCAAAGTGAATTACCCAGTCTATGGAGAAATAAGTGTAACAGATCTGCCAACAATGGTCATTAGAATAATGGTCACTGAAGCAACTTCCAACTTAAGCTCTTAAAATGCTTCCTATATAATATACAGCATCATTAAAAATCCAATGTTTAATATGAAGAAACAAAATCCGGGAAAATTGCATAACCATGCAGGCAAACATCTACACAAACAATGTTATTTCAATGTTTCCTCAACAGAAGACAGAGCATGCATACAGTTAAGTTACCTTTCAAAGAAAGCTTTCTTTCACATTAGGCTTTACTTGAATGCCACAATTCTATATATTAGGCTTTATACTCTCACACAAAGCATGAAAGTGCAAAGCATGCTAAAAGATTCACAAATACGCCTTTTTGTACCTATGATATTTGTACTTTATAATAAAAGATAACTGGTATCAACATAATTTCATCTGTCCTGTTATATGATCTTTACTCTCATGAAAGGAAACAGGCTTTGCTGATTTGTTTTCCTTTCCTGGTCACTTCCCAATAAAGGTGCATACAAAAGAAAGTTGACCCTAACCGGCCGATTTCAGAAACAAAGATCTGTTTTCTCAAAGGAGAGATTTTACCTGTTTTCACAGACATATCTTTTCCTATCAGGTTTTGGACCTGGAATCAGTCCATAACTAAGATATATTTAGAGCGTCACACTTACAGTCAATTTCTAAAGGAACTCTGCACTAGAAGCAAGAAATGATAATACAGTGAAGGTACATGTGTGTGTATTATTTTCCAATGGTCAGAACACAACTTTATTCTACTTTATTTTTGAAGAAGTTCACTCTTTATTCAATAAATAGATGAAGTTAGAATTATTTCCACAAAGAGGATATTTTCTATAGAACATATATTTTAACAAAACTCCTTTTAACTAATATTCTTCAACATCTAATAGTTATAGTCTGAGTCTTTTTTCATATAAAAACAAAACGTGTAGCTGAAGCACCCTGGATTTTCTTACATCCTTCGTATTTTTAAAAATGAAATTGTTTAATATATATATTCAAGTCCACAGACAAAAGCTATGTCCATGCCCATATTGCTTAAGTTCAAGAAGAAAAACGTCTGATTTGGTGGGCCTCAACTGGGTCCTAACTCTTGCCCCAGGACACTTCTCTCCACACTCTACTACTGAAGCTGTGAAGATGGTAACACATCATTTCCGTCCTGACTCCTTCCGTGGATCTTGTCTCATGTTTCTAAAATCAAGTGACAGTTCTGCTTCTAACTGGTTCCTTTCGCTCGTAAAGATACTTTTGTACAAGAATCATTGTTTCAATCAACATGGGAAGACTGTGACTAGAAGGTCTTATTGCTCCATCCCTAGTCTTTCTTTTTGTGAGTGTGTTGGGGTGGAATTCTTATCCTTATCATCATCCTGTTTTAGTTTAAAAAGGAAGAAAGAATAACAAGGTCAAGTGAACTTATGAACTTCTTCAATAGCTAGCTAGTCCTACTGAAAGGCCGTTCCAAAGATGTCTGCTTGACAGACGTGAATTGCACACAGAGCTTAGTCAAGAGTTAAGAAAAAAAACCTTCTATTCAATTAATCAATCAATTTTAGACAATTTTATGTTCTTAAAATAGGTTACACTTCAAATGGTCTGAAAATATCCACAATTTTTATTATTACAACAATGTTTAAGAAAAACCAATGTCTTACCTGCCAAATAGACTATCATGGACAACGTAGACAGAACACACACTGAGATCTATTAACCCTTTTGGTTTTGTAGCTCGTTTTTCACTTTCAAAATAAATAAGTTGGGCATCACTGCCCTCTAAGATAAAATATAAATTTTTCCAGCGTTTTCCTTTGCCTGTTGAAAAAAATAATTCTCTTTCCTTAGGAACTAAGAAATAGTATTTCAGAATACAAAAAAATTTAAATATATTTCAATTTTCATTCTAAGAATAGGTCAATCAATATATAATTACAAAATCCTATACCTGCATAGATAAGTTTTTTTGCTATTATTGCTTGTGTAATGAATTAACGAATGGTGGATGAAGTTCATCATAATATTTTAACTGTGTCTTCAGAAATTTATTATTATAAAATCTTCAAAATTCCTATTTTAGAGTAATTGTTTTCCAACAACACCCACCCCTCAATATCAAACTGACATAGATCTATTTAAAAAAAATAAAAGAAGAAGAAAGAAAGAAAAAGAAATTCAGTACCCTGAAGGCCAAGTGCCACCAGGAATTTCTCTAAGAAAACTCAGGGAAAGCCTGAAACTAAGTCAGGATTTAATGACATACTTGGAATACAAGCTTGCTCTAAAACACTGTTTAGAACATGGACTTAATCTCTAAAGTTTGAAGCATGCTCTGTGTAAGCTCTAAACAAGTATCTGTTACTTATAATCAATGACAAAACAACTGATTATGTCTTACAGTAAGTATTATGTGTATTTATGACTATCATATGGTGATCACTAAAATCCCTAAATTAAATTCTTAGTCCTAACAGTTGACTTACTCTTCTTCAGAAGGTAACCTTTCTTAACAATGTTTTTATAAAAGGCATCCTTTGTTTTACGACGAATTGTATTATAGATTTCCTTTCCATCGACAGTATCATTGAGTACTTGTTCTTGATCCTGAATTGTAAAGAAACATTAAAATTATTTATAAAACCATATCCAATCAGTAAATAAAAAGCAGGTAAAATATTTCTGCTAAAATCTAAATTTAAATCTTATAAAGAAATTCCCAGAATGGTTATTATTTCTTAAAAACATGCCTCAAGGGCAAATGCTATTTCAAAACCTCGGTAAGCTTATATATTCTACATCAAATGAAACTGTTTGAAAGTATCTACTTATTCCAGAACTAACTGGCAAATCAGGGGGGAACATGAATTAGAGCAAAGTCATGCTGGTGAATACTATTACCTCTGAGAAACACCAATTGAGACTAGAAAATTAGTCAGTTGAATTCGAACAATCCCCACGTTAACCCTCAGTTCATCACACACAACATAGCACATTGTTATATCCACACCTGGTAAGTCTTTAAGTTTTTTATTATTTTTTTATTGCTTTATAAATAATACCAATAAAAATTTCCATTCTTTATAAGCAAACTGAATTAAGATTCTTTTCTTCCCACTACTTCATAGCTTCCTCTTGTTTCAATACTTTCGATGCCTACATCTTTTTTACACTAAAAGTACAATATTTATTATAATCTTTACATCTTTTTTTAAGGATATTTAAAAGCCAGACTACATTTTTTCAGTTCCCATTCTATTATGTGTCAATGATGAAATGTTTTACTTTGAACTCTTATTTTTCCTGTAAGTTCTAGGTCTTTATTGCTTGATTTTTACATAATAGGCTTCAGTGATGCATAAAAGACAGCTGACATCAATTGCTAAATTGCCTACGTTGTCACAAAGAATGTACAAAAACATGATCTTCTCAGATAAAATAATTTCCAATTGTATCAAGGTATGTTAAGCTGAATGTTAGTCTTCCCATTCATTCATAACAATTCTTTTATTTCTGAAAAACTACTATTTTATGGTATTTAGTTATTTTTTGGATGCTCTGAAAAGCCTATTCAACTTATTGTAAATATAGAACATTAAGTCACTTTCATGATAACCTTTATGTTCTATTTTTGGACATTATACTGTTTCGTTTCCTTATTCAGCAATTATGCCCAGGCACTAAGATGGTAAGAAAGAAAAGGATTAATTACCTGAGATAAAGGTGACAAACTATGGTATGCATGTTAAGTTGAGCCCATTTGTGGTATTGTGGTTTGAACCTAGGACATTCTGCATGCTAGGCAAGTGCTCTACTGCTCAATTATATCACCAGGTGCACCACCTCCAAATCTAGTCCTCAGTTTTCGTACAAAGTTTTACTGAACCTCAGACATGTTTATTATATATTGTCTGTAGTTCTTTTCAATTACCAAAGGAGATTTATCATTTGAAATAGATTGGAGATAAAACCTAACCTGGACCTTTTGTCAGTCCCTTGAAAAGATACAAGGATGCAATAGTGAAATAATCCCTTCTCTGTTGTATCACCATTGGCTTTTAAATGCACTGCCAGGTATTACAGTATCTTTAAAAGGGTTAAAAGGGCATTTTCTTGCCTTTTGTTATTAGTCATTAAACAGCTAATTAAAACTTTATAGACTTTTTAATCTTCTGCTATGAATGGTAAAAAGGAAATGAGAAGAAAAAAAATGATGTTTACCAGAACAATGAATGAATTTAAAGAAATAGCTGTACTCTGGGCTCTACGGTGAGGAAAATGACTTTGATAACCAAATCTCTTACTATGATATACAAAATGAAGTTATTCATGTTTGTTGAAATTTTTACATCATATTTATTCATAAGGGTAGTGAATTAATGATGAAAAATTGTATAAAAGGGTTATTAAAATAAGACACATAACAGAATTAGAAAAAAATCACTGGAACATTTTACTTGGTATCTGTAAGTATAAAAACATTTTACAATTAGAGAACAATAAACCCTACTTTTCAACAAAATTGCCTTCAGTGTTTTCAAAAACATCAGTTTTGATGAGGTGAACTACATTCGTGATTTAAAGTTTGTTATCATTACTGCATTTTAAGAGCCAGAGTAACTACAAGCAGGACTTATCAGAATACACACGACAGGTTGTTCAAGTGCACATAGAAAAGCTGAAGAGAGGTTAGCTGCACTCCAAAGACTGGCTAATTTGAGAAAGCTGTGAGTATACATGAGGAAAATAAAAAGCAAAAGATTGCTATACTTAATCACTCATAACATTTTCTGTAAAACTTATTTAGGTTTATTCATTTCTTGTATACATTATGTGTTAAAGTACTTAAGTAATTTAAACATTAAAATAGACTGAGATTAAAATTAGTATCAATTAATTTCCATGTGACTACAAATCTGTACTCATGACTTTTTATTCCATGGGTGACAGTCTGTGTATTAGCTGTAGAATGGGGTACTCTTATCATTTAAAACATACCACATTCGTGCTTAGCTTTAAATACGTGGTTCCAAGGTAATCTGTAAGTGTTTTATGGTTCTATGTATGTAGGTGTGTGTGATGTGGAGGCTTGAGAGCAAGGACATTTCCCCATCTTTCTCCACCTTAGTTTTTGAGACACTGTCTCTCCCTGAATTTAGAGCTTAACAATTAAGCAAGACTAGAAGGCCAGAGAGCTCCAAAGATCCTTCTGTCTCCACCATCTCAGTTCTGAGATTATAGTTGTACACCACTGCATCCAGTTGTTTTTTTTTTTTTAAATGGACTTAGGGAATCAAATTCCCAGTTTAGTAAACGGCAAGCATTTTACTAACTGAACCATCTCTCCAGCTTTTTAAAAAATTAAATTAAGGTATACTGACCTACAAATCATAACGGATTCCAGTATCTTCTAAGTCATGAGTAAGAATGCAGCTTCACTTGCAGGTGGTAATAAATCACTGAATGATAGCAAGCATTTCCTTATCTTGGCCCACTTTCTACACAGTTCTGAACAAGGAGATCTCATCTTACACAGTCCTCCCTGAGAGTAGTAGATAAACAGAACCCACAGGCTACAGAAGCCAGACTTCAATTCTGACTTTGTTACTCAATGGCTAAAAACACCATTCAACAATCAATACACTAAAACAGTCACAGATCAGTACTTAAAGTTTTAATTAGAGAAAGTCAATAAACATAGTAAGTACATTATATGTTATAAACATCATGATACATAGAGTGCTTTGCAAAGTAAAAGCAGAGATGGTGTTGATCTCTAAATCTCACTGTAAAGCTAATTTTTTTGGTAAAATTTTGAATAACCAAAAAAAAAAGTTAAGTAGATTTTTGAGGGAAAAAAAGTTAGTTCAAAGATACAAAGGAAGAAAAAAAAGCCTAGTATATTTATAAATCACAAACAGAGCCAAAACAAGAATTCAGTAACAGATAAGGACAGTAGAATAAGATAGGTGGGAACGCTGAACTATCAGTATGCAATTTTGTCTGCTACAAAAGGGATTTTATCTTTTATTCTGAAATATTGGACATCTTCAAGTATTAAACATAAGAAGGGACTCAACTCACGTTTTAGATGGACACCTCTGACTGTTCTATGGTGTAAGGGGGGAAAGACACTCAAAATGAAACAGATCAATATTTTTCATGTTGTTCATATTCTAAACATATTTTGAAGTGAGAGTAAGAAAGATGTCCCCAACAGATCTGACACAGAGATCTGACAAAGAGAACCAAGGATGATTTAGTCTCTTGAGTAATATACTTAGCCTTTCTATAGTTTAAATTTTGTTATTAACAAATATAAAATAGGCATATAAAATAGTGTCAACTTGACCAAACTGCTCAAGTAATTAATTAGTATGCATAGAAAATACCTTAAATATATTAAGAAGTCTTTTATAATTTTGTATTTTTTAATGTTTCTATTTATTTTCTGTTTAGGAGCAATGGTGTGGGAGGTCCTTGTGTCTCTGTGTTGCCTTTATAGGTTAATGAATAAAGAACTGCTTTGAGCCTATGGCAGGGAAGATTGGACTGAAAGCTGGGAGAAGAAGGCAGAGGTATGCCATGGAGCCACTGCCAGAGAGATATGCTAAAACTTTGCTGGTAAACCACTGCCACGTGGAGATACACAGATTAATGGAGATGGGTTAAATTAAAATGTAAGGGCTAGCCAATAAAAAGTTACAGCAAGTAGGCCAAGCAGTGTTTTAATTAATACAGATTCTGTGTGATTATTTCGGTTCTGGGCAGTCAGGACAAACATGTGCCCGTCTTCCAACGAATGATGGTATTCACATGGCACAGTACACGTGTAGGGGACAGAGGACAATTTGGAGTCCACTATTTCCTTCCGTCATATGAGTGCCTGGGACTGAACTCAGTAGTCAGGCTAAGGATGAGCACCTTATACAATGAGTCACCTGACCAACTCTTTTCTTCTAGTGTCTTATCCATCATGTGCTAAACTAGTTTTAGGACTTGTTTATTTCTATTTTAGCTAATATCTGGGTATACAAGGGTTCAAAACTGAGGGGGTTAGACTCATTTTGCCAGCTGGTCAGGTTGTTCATCAGAAAAAGGATATTATTAATAGCCTTTGTATTTTCTAATGAATGGCCAATTAAAGGACAAGTGTATGTTTTGATTCTTCAAACAAGGAAACACCAAACTCTTTTCACAGTACTTTTTGTATCTTTACTTTACCCATTCTACTTAAAACACAACAAAATTTCTTCTTCTGTTTGTTTTCCTTTTGCTATTGTTTAAAGACAAGGCCTGGAACTTACAATGTAGACCAGGGTCGTACCCTACTAGCAGCAATCCTTCTATCTCTGCCTCAGGAATGCGAGATTACAGATGTGCAAACTTCACAGTCACTACTACATCCTCTCACAGTACACTTAAGAAAGGACACGAGTCATACAGAGCAAGCTACTTAGTCTGCACATTAAGCTATATTTACTAGGCTCTCTGGTTCCATCATGCCTGCCTTATCTAGAACCTTGTACAGCAAGTGCTGCACTCACTACATCATTCTCACTGCCCTTTTACTCTTTACTCGAGTATATAGACATGCTCTTTCCCTGATAAAACTAATGAATAAAAATAATAAAAACTTCTCTTGGCCTTAATATTCTTTCATCATTTGTTAAGCCTACATAAGACTGGCTGTGAAAAATCATGCCATCTTCATTTTCCCTCAAAAGAATTCACTCCTTTCCATAGTGTTAATCTGTCTTCACCATTGCTATCATTCCTCAAGAAGGTACCAAGTACTATAAGCCTGGCAAATAACCCAGGTCTGTGGGGTGAGGGGACAGGAGCACACACACAATTTACACCACCCACTCTACCACTCAGGAGTCATTACAATGGTGCAGCAGAAAATATGTGAGAGCTGGAAATGGGGGAAGGCTACAACTGCCATTCTCTAGGCTCAATATCAACTCACAACTGCAGGTCCATATGGGCCTGGTCCTATCAACAATCAATTGCAGAATGGGTGGGAGTCACTAGGTATTACTCGGTTACGGCTGATCTACTGATAAGATTCTGGGAGAAGGGAGAATCCCTGTCTTTAGCTGTGATACCACTGAGCACAGCACGACTTCAAAGGACAACTCCAAACACATGATTACACAGACGCCCCGGTTAAACTCTGTGGGTCACAAAACAAAATGAATTGACGGAATGAGAGGTATTTTTGTGGAGGACATGGGGTGGACCAGGGGTGAGGAATAAAAGTAGTCAGTAGGTATGCATACAGGTGTAAAAGTAAAAAACAAAGTTAATAAAAATAAAACCAAAGAAAGAAAAAGAAGATACTAAGGACTTCCTTGGTATCTACTAATGACTTACTAATTAGATTATCTAAAGTGAACAGAATTAAAAAGTAAGAAATTCTCTTGAAGTTCATGATCTAAATAATCTATAGTTTTAAATTTTATCTAGTTTTAGCAGAAGTTTATATAGTCATTACAAAAATTAATTTTAAAAAAAGACACTATTTCAAGCAAGAAAAAAAAAAAACAAAAACAAAACACTGACCTGCATTGGTACAGGCTCCTTAAGATAATAGCCTTCAACAATCTGTTCTTTCCGGTAGTGATCTATGATGTCCCCAATACTGTTAAGTAATAAATAACTCTATAAATTTCTTAGAATAAAAATAAACCATGTAGTTTTTGATAGCACACAATACAGAATAAACTATTATAACAGTCACATTATTTTATGAAAACAGAAATGTTCCAAATACAGGTTTGCAGGTTGGAATATGTAAGCTAAAGATTTTGGTTTCCCACATATATCAAACACACAGTCAAATCAATGACACTACACACGATACTCTAAAAGTGACATTCAGTGAGAAAATGATTACAAGTTATGGTCTTTGGTTTTTTTAAAAGACAATCCTTCCGACATATGAAGAACTAACAAAAATTGCATTTATTTAGTAAATGATAAACTAAGAACTTATGTCATCAAATCACTTTATATATTTGCTTTTGCTCAGAATGTCATTAAGTCATAATACATGAATAGTTAGGTGAAAATACAAATCAAAAGAAAAAGAAAAAATAACATAATTTTGCTTGTACAGTGGTCACTTTGGTATGGAAGAATTAAGTAATATTGATTAAAAAGTACCAAAAATTATTCTATATATTTGGGAACTATTACTAATGAATCTGAAAGTAAAATGACATAACACATAGTTTAGGATGCTACCAAATATTTTTTTAATAAATAAAAGCATCTTCTATAATTATTAGGTCAGATTAAAATCAGATATTTACTTTCTGGAATTTTAAACTTTCATTTTATATACTAAGTGGAGGAGTAATTTTAAGATACCCAAGAAATATGTTTCAAAAAAAACTCTGCTAACCTGCCCCTTGATTTATTCTTTCCATAGTTTCCTATACTACAAACTAATTTAAATTAACTATAATATTCAAAAGTAAAATATAAAGATTAATAAAAGATATCTATAAATACAGATAAATATTAACAACAGTAGAAAGGTGGAGTGAAAACAAGATTTTTTTCTAAAAGGATATGGAAAATAAATTTTGAAAATAGGGTAAATCTAAATTGTTTCAAGAAAAATGAAAACCAGGAAGAACAGAAAACAGATAGACACCTTCACAAAGATGACTGTTTTATGCATGGGAAGGTAGATGTAAAAAGTGTGTGATCAATCCAGTGATGGAAATTTCAGTGAAATTTATAGAATTAAAATGTTTTAAAATTATATAAATGATTCTTGGTAAGATAATTTAAAATTAAATTTTAGAAATATTGAATGGAGGCACCCTATGTAGGTAGATAAAGCTGCTCTCAGATACCGTATGTGTGATGGCATGTGTGTGTACCATGGCATGTGTGTAGAGGGCAGAGGGCAGCTTTTGAGAATAAGTTCTCTCCCCCCACCACAGGTTCCAGAAAGCAAACTCATGACAGGCTTGCACAGAATGTTATTTCTGACTCTCTGAGCTATCTTGTCAGCCTTTAGATTTCTTTCAAAGAATTAAACAAACAAGCAAACCTAGAAATAAGGTACCTGAGCATTTTAAGATTAATACATCCACAGGGAATAGAAAGTCAGATTTTGGGAGTGGTAGAGACCATTTTTAATATTATTTTGCAATCACTCTAATAATTTTGCAAAAATTTGTAAAAAGTTCCTGATTTATTTCTTCTTGTTCCATTGTGGTGTCTAATTACAAAGACTACCTTTATAAGTCTTATCAACAACCCAATTTATAAAAAATATTTCCAGGTTTGTAGAGATAAAGAAGTTTAGATCAATAAACAAATAATAGCAAGTAAATTAGTTTATACTTGTAGACAGAATGACAACTGCCCCCACAGACCCAGAGAGAGGCACTATTAGGTGGTGTGGCCTTGTTAAAGAAAGTGCATCACTAGGGGTGGGCTTTGAGGGCCAGCGTCACCCTCTCTCCTACTGCGTGTGCATGAAGATAGAGACTCTCAGTTACCTCATCTGCTACACACTGTCATACTTCCTGACATGATAATAATAGACTAAACTGCCGAACTGTAAGCCAGCCCCAGTTAAATATTTTCCTTTATAAGAATTGCTATGGTCATATTTTCTCTTCACAGCTATAAAACCTTTTTAAAAAATGTCAATTTGGATATTTAGTAATTTAGTTCCATATGAATGCTTTCAAATATATGTTCCCAAATCCTTGATAATGAGAAAATCTAATTTAAGACAAATCAAATTTAGAGCATGCTAGATTCAAGATGAAGATGTCTAAAGTCAAGGTACTTGGGTAGCTTAATATGATGAGGTGTGCAAGTGTCTAAAATTATACTTTGATTTAATGTTTATAGCTGTCCACTAAACTTCTGAAAAGCAAAAGATATTATCACTATAATTTTGTTTTTTCCAGATAGGCCAGCTGTTGGAGCTTTATTAACTTAAAACTCAGACTAGAATTTAGGGAATTCTAATTGAGATGGGGAGTATTAGGACATTACTAACAAGTTAAAAAAAAGATTCTGTCAGCCTCCAAAAGAGGAAACACTAGTTCTTTCTTATTAAAGTAGGCAAGTGTTTCATCCATCCTTTTCTTTTCCAGAATATTGCCACTCTGCATCTTACAGTTCCTCTATTAATTTACTTTGCAAAGTAAGCAACTAAAATTTATTATGAGTTTTAAGACAAAGTTTTCTCAGAAGTTGAGAGGTACAAACTAATTACAACACACAAAAAGTATCAACTTCAGAGAATAATCCAAATACATAATGACATCTGTAAAAACCAGATGACTCCTAGGAATTACCTACAATTAGCCTATATATAAATATTTGATTAAGCAACAAGGTATTTGGGAGTTGACAAGTTAATAATATTCATGTTTGACACTTGTTAAAGCATTCTCAGATAAGACTACAGCTATTGTATTAGAAACTGAGAAAATTTTATATTTTGAATTCAATTATTTTTACCACATCTAAAAGATAATTTAAACTGTTTCATAATTTACCTGTTATAATATCGGCCTCCCATCATAAACTGGTTATTAGGTGTTGGACAAATTTTAAATCGCTGAATATTTTCATTGGTCCGAAAATACAGGGAATAATCACCAGGAGTATTATCTGAAGGCCTCACAAGAAAGCTGCAGACCTGGCCAACTGTAAAAAGTAAGTTGTTAGCTTTATACTCTATCAAATAAAAAGAAAGCACATTATGTAATCTAATTAGGAAGTATATTCAAAGTCATAGCCACATGTAAATTTTATCATAAAACTTTAAGACAGTGTTTCCTATTTTCAGTTTATGACTTACAACCACTCACATTGTTCCTGGTGTAGCTTGGCTAGTCTTCTTTCTTAAACATCTCTAAAGGTAACTTCTAGAGTAAGGTCTATGTCTTTCCTTCTTAGAAAGAAGGATCGGACAGTTAGTCACAGTAACTAAAACTGTTATATCATATAATCTCAAGATCTTTAAATGTTAAGCTAATTTTGACTACTAGTCTATTCTTTCTCTGGATCTCCAGTAGATGACTAAAAAGCAAAACTGTAATATAAGTAAGTGCTTAAGTATCTGAGTAATTATCATAGTCAATAAACACATCTCATTTTTCTCACGAGGTGTCATCCTGGAAAGGTGTGCACACAAAGGACCATCTTCAATTAGCAATGATTCCTAATACTATAATGTTTCCTTTGTGGTTAAGAACTGGTTAACAAAGATGGGTGGTGATGCCTCAAGCCTTTAGTCTCAAAACTGGGGAGGCAGGGGCAAGAGGATCTCTGTCAGTTTGAGGCCAGCCTGGTCTACAGAGTGAGTTCCACGACAGGGTCCAAAAATACACAGAGAAACCCTGCCTCGAAAAAAAAAACCAAAAAACTGGTTAACAGAAAGATTAGAAATTGACTCTTCTAAGAAAGCATAACTAACACAATATCTATCACATGTAATTCTTGTAGCAATGAGTGATAACTTTAACCATCTAGCTTACATTCCTGTTAACAAGTAATTTGGTTGGTATTCAATACAAAGAAGTAAAATGTAAACCTTCTTATATTGAATTTTCAGAGTAAATAATAAAAATCTGTAGAAAGTGTGCAATTTAATATATAAAGAAAACCCTTAGTTCACAGTGCTGATACTCTCTGCTTCTTCAATGTAAGATGGGAATCACATGTAAATTTATACATGAATGCACTTGTGTAGTTTCAGGAAAATGGCCGCTCTTTCAAAAACAGTATATAAATAAACAAAAATACAAACTAATGTGGGAAATATTTTAGATTCTTTCCATGTTTACCCACCTAAAAAACTAAAGGATGATTTAAAATACCTGGTGACTCAATATCTTAAGTATTAACTACACCAACAACTCACTAAAATGAATAGTTCTGTTCTACCCAGAAGGCTGATGACAGCACCCTGGTTTAACCTTATCTCTATCTCTAGCATTGGCATCTTTTAAACTCTTTTCTGAACCTCTCAGTGCAGGTTAAGACATTAACATTAAGCACTTCAAAAACTACCTCATTAAATCACTGATTTAAACAATGACATCTTAAAACAAATAAGATCATACATTTAACAATTAGAGTTTATTTACTATAGTTACTTATTTCAGGGTACCCTACAAAGTACAGAAACTACCAATTTTTCAAGAACCATAACACCTAAAATACATATAATACATTGGTTTTGTCCCCAATCTTTGCCAGACATAGTTTACCAATAAATTAGGCTAGCAATAAGCAGTTAATAATAAAGAGCAAAGTAACACAGCTGTTTCTTTAAAACATTGGTTCTTAATCTTCCTAATGCTACAACCTTTAAATTTAGTTCCTCAGGTTTTGGTGACCCACACCAACTATAAAATTAGTTTCATTCCTACTTCTTAACTGTAATGTTACTAACGTTATCAATTATAATGTAAATGTTTTTGGTGATAGAGATTTGTCAAAGTGGTCACAAACCAAAGATTGAGAACTGCTGCTTTAAGTAACAAACCCTTAATATAAATTTGCATTTTCCTATAACAATCATAGAAATTAGGAGTACATTTTAAATATTGCTAAATTATGTAATTCCACTATGCACACAAATAATACAAGAATGTACAGTGGTGCACATCTTTAATCCCAGCACACAGGAGGCAAAAGAGGGCAGATCTCTGTGAGTTTGAGGCCAACCTGGTCTACAAAGTCAGTTCCAGGACAACCAGAAAAACACAGAGAAACCCTGACTTGAGAGGGGGTGGGTAAGTACATTATAAATGAATGGGAAAAAAAAAAAAAAACGATAACATGGTATTCCTCTATTGATATACTGTATGTTATATGATATTTGTAAACTAGAAATCATATGATCAATAAAAAGGATGACAAAAATTTGTATTTGTAAATATGAAATATTTTCTGAATATATTTATCATTAAAAAGTATGTTGTGTATCCTAAGTACATTATATGTAGGATATACCTGAGATACACACACAAAAATATAGTCATAAGCTGTAACACATGGAGAAGGAAACAGGACAGGGGCTAAGGAAAAAGAAAATATACTTCACAAGAGTTATTATACATGTACATTTTAATTTAAAACAAAATCAGAAAAACACCAGCTTCCCAGCATTGGGAAGAAATTATAATATACATAAGCATAAATCAAATGCTAAAGGAAAGCATAGTACATGAGAAAAGGTTTTTTCAATTTTATATTCCATAAATAAAAACATTAATGAATACAAAAGTACCTGTCATTAATAAATTATAAGCTTCTTGTTTGGAAATCTTCCCATGGAACCATCTTAAAAGAAGAACAAATTTGACATGTAAATTAAAAGTTCATGTGCTGCTGCTTTCATATACTCAAAAGTAAGCAAAATTTTTATAATTCACGTTGACATGAAATAAATGCAATGGAAATAATCAAATTTTCATCCATTACATTTCTATTGTATTTTGTAAACTTACTCTGCTTTACTTCAGCAAAGTAAAAAGGACTAGGAACTGTCAAGTATAACTACAATTTCCATATTACTTATGCTATTTTAAAAATCTAGTGGTATCTGTTACATGCTTATATCAGAGCTCTATTTTTACTCTGATGGCTTGTAGGGGATAGGAGAGATGATTTAAGAAAGAAACAAAATATTTTCTCATGGTTCTCTCAAAATTAGTTTCTTTTAACATAAAATCTCACCCAATAAAATTAAAATACTAACAAAGGAAGGAACAAGTACATACCAAGAAACAGAACTAAAACTATTTTTAATTCTGAGCCTATCACTCTAGACTGCTAAAGTATTTTATAATCTTCATTTTCGAAGTAAGCATTTAGAAATTATTATAAACTATAATAGCTGAAATATGGCATAAAATTTCAAGTACTTAGTTTTTGCCCTTTTATAAAATGACATGTTAAAAAAATTACTTGAGGATCAGGAATGGTGGCACACGCCTTTAATCCCAGCACTTGGGAGGCAAAGCCAAGCAGATCACTATAAAGTGAGGCCAGTATGGTCTACACAGCAAGATCCAGGCTAGCCAGGATCATATCACTTGAGTCCTTGTTTCAAAAATAAACCAAATTATTTAAAAGCCAAACTTCTAAAGTTTTCCTCTTGTTTACAATAAATCCCATTTTCCTCGCACTGGTAATCTCAGATCTCTTCTCCACCTCTCTGATGCCTCTAAAGATCTATGAGTTAAGTTTCAGTTGTAAAGTACCCATACTACTACAAGACATAAAACGTAAGTGTTCTAAGATGCAATGCTACAGGCTTAAAGTTCTTTCATTCTGCTTCAGATTAATCATTCCATTACTTGGGAAATTTAAAATACAAATTAATTTTCAAGGAAATGAAAATTAAAATTTAAAGAAATTATTCCAACAATATAATTTAATAATCCAAATTTCCTGATGCTCTCAGAGCAAACATGAATAATGAAGAGGAAATAAATAGTACAGTCCAAAATGATTTAATGTATGAGGCTATATACTGCATTTAAGTAAAGGCTAAACTACCATTTTCTACACATGCTAGATTTGAATTCTATATTCTAGGAGAGTCAGCTAGAAGTCATACAAGACCAGCCATATACTTTTCTCCCCAGTAAAGAACAAAACTCAGAAGAGTGTTAAAAAAAAAAAAAAAATCCGTAGTTAAGTTTTAAACATATAATATTTTGAACTTTAAGAAAAATAGCCTTGAGGCAAAGGGGTAATGGGTAATATTATTTCCTGGAGTTATTCTTGTATAAAACTGTGTAATCCAATTACATAATTTTACTCAAGATAAAAAGTCCTTACATTTAAGAGGTCCAGAACCTGGTGGGAAAAATCAGTGTAGTAAGTACAGTGTGTGCTGGGGAGTTTGGAGAGGAACAGAGAAAGGACCTGCTTTGCTTTTCTGACCTCTGGGGTTTTATTATTCATTTTACATTTAGTATATGTAAGGAACAACATGAAGATTCACTGAACTTAAATTTGCTAAGTTAGGTAAGCAACTGAAGGGTAATCTCCTCTTAAGATATAACAGATATTCTATTAAGAAAAAAAGGTAATAAAAGAACTACATGTTCTATTCGGTTTAATATATTTCCTCTTCTAATGGCTAGGGAACAAGAAAATAAAATGTCTGAGGCAAGCTTTAAATTGCATCTATAAATGTTGACAGTTTGATTAAGAATAAAATGGAATGAAAAGATAATAGATGAATACTCCATTGAAATAATATGAATAAAATGAATACAATTGAAAGCCAAGATTTTAAAAGGAATTCTGTACATATAAAAGCAATCTGAAAAACTTATTTTAAAAAACCTTTCTGGGTTATACTAAAATTGTCAGAAATTCTCTCACATGCATAATAAAAACTGAGTTTCAAAGTTCATTAATGATTTGGCCACAAAAATAAATACTATCATTAGTAAGAAAATGAAGAGAAACAGGAGGAACTGTGCTTACTGATAAGGCTTTTAGTTTAGCTTGGGGATACAAGATTTGTATGCAGGTCTAGGCCACTGCATGCCTTTTTCTTAAGGATCTAGTCCTAAGATCCTTAAGAAATATATCAGTTCTCTAACCAAAATTTAAAGAAAATCAATCAGACTAAAATTCATCAAGTATTTTTGACTATTTTTCTAATTTACAGTCTAACATTTTTTTTCTTTCAATAATTAATATAAACTCACATTTTGCCTTCATGTGGATCTTCTTCCCGGCCCTAAAGAGAAGAAAGAGATTAAAAGAGCATTTTTTTTTTTTTTCAGTTTTTCTAGACAGGGTTTCTCTGTAGCTTTGGAGCCTGTCCAGGAACTAGCTCTGTAGACCAGGCTGGATTTGAACTCACAGGGATCCACCTGCCTCTGCCTTCCAAGTACTGGAATTAAAGGTGTGTACCATCACCACCCGGCAAAATAGCATAATTTTTAATTTCAGAAAATTAAATCCTAATCTAATTTCATTAAAATTCCTAAGAATCCAATCTTCAAAACTATCTCCACAATACTTTTCCTAGCTGTGTTCGGAGAAAAGACATTTCTGTTCAAGAACTCGCACTATATAGCTGTCTGTTCTCGTCTCCCTGTTGCTGTCAGTTTAAATCAGACCCTTGCTTCTTTTTAATTTAATGATTTAAGTAGCCCAACTACAGTATATTACTGCTCTGCCCATTCCAACCTCTCTGAATTCATTAGTGTCAACTGTAGGTGTGCACTTAAGAATAAACAAACCAAATGAACAAACAATCTTAAAGCCAACCCTTTTCTAGCCTGCCTACTGTCTACAGATTCCTCATGTTACAACAAGCGCCCTTAACCATCCATCGGCCTCAAGTATGTGTTTCTTATACTACCCACCTCCTTTCTAGGTGTCTCTGCCATGACCAATCTTAACTACTCATTTGCTAAACTATTTCACCTCTCTACTATAGTTTGTGCTCTGTTCTTATTGTTGCCATCAGAATGTCCTTTCAATTCATTGTTACCTACCTGCTGGGGGAAAAAAAAAACCAAGGCATTAAGGAAAACTACCTCAAATGCTACCTCCTTACAGTTTAACACTTTGACCCTAAAATGTGAGCACTTTCTCTTCTCTGGAATACAAAATACATACTTTCTTTCTGCCATCTTTTAAACCTTATCTTTTTCTAGTCTGTACTCCAAGTTTTAAAGCTATTCTAATATTAATATTATTCATTCCAAAAATAGTGACTACCTTATTAAAGTCTAAGCTATTCTCTCTACCACCACCACCCAAACATGGTCTAAGTTCATAGTTTTCACTGAATATATAAAGAACTGTCATCATAGCAGCTTACACTGACTTTTCAATAAACTGATAACGAAAGGGAAAAAAGGAGAAAAAAATATTAGCAGGGACTTCTCTTAATTAGGTCCTCACTAAGTATTTAGTCAGACTAAAATCAGTCAATGAATACTTACTATAGAAACTACAAAATTAATATAACTGCTCTCTCTCAAAAAGTGGTCTATTTAAGGAATATAGAACCAATGAGTACTGCGAGAACAAAGGGAGAAACAATTTGGCCTAAAAAAAAGTATCTAGACACAAAATCTCTGCCAAAGGGGGAGAAAGAGAGACAGAGACAGACACACAGACAGAGAAAGCAAGGAAGAAGTTGCCAGTTAGTAATAAATAAGTTTCAGAAGGCAATCTAAGATAACAGACCAAAAGTGTAAAAGACAGGGACCACTATAGGCATGGAGGCACTACATTCATCTCCTCAAACTTTACAGATGCCAGAGAATCATTCAGGACAGAGCAGTGAATTAGAACAACACTAACAAGAAAAAGATGTCTTTTCTTGGAGCATACAATCTAGAAGTGAGACTTAAAAATGTGCTGATCTCCATATAAAAATATATGGGGTAATTTATATTATGTACTAAGATGAATAATAACATATAATATGATAGCAAAGAAAAGAGGTAGAATATACAAACTGTAGGACTTTGGGATTACTTACATATAATTTAAATATTCCTAGATTATTAAAAATTATAAACACATTTGAAAAATTATTCCAAACATACAACACTTAAAATTCCTCTATGACTCAAATATATCCAATGAAGAACAGGTATACAAAAAAATACCAAAACAAGTACAAGTGATAACTGAGTTCACAAGCAGAGAAATACTTCCTGCAGAGGCAGCTATATATTACAACATATTAATATATTGTCTATTTCCTTGTACATAAATATCATTTATGTCTTAAAATTTCCTTATGCTTATGAATTAAAGTTTTTCACAAGAAATTTGTTCCTATCTAATAATCCAGAAAATGGACCAATTCCAAACTTTTATTAAGGATATACGATTTGAAATTTAGGAAAACATGAAACTCACCACCTCTTCTACTAGGTCTTCAACAATAAGGCCTTGTTCATCTGTTCTTAGATTTGTAACCCACATCCATCCATCTTCTAATTCATTGTGAACAATGAACATATCTCCTTTTAAGAAACTACAATAGAAAATGACATTAAAATGTTAAAAATGGACATTGAAGTAGTCCTAAACTACCACACAGGATATTACAACATTGAAAAAAATGCAAAAAAAAAAAAAACCACCTTATAAAACCCAAAGTTCTGTGCTATTTCTGACATTTTTAGTGAATCTGAAGACAGTTAATAATCTGAATCCTAATTTCATTATAGGTTCAAAAAGGGTGTCAATTTGCTGAATTACATTAAAATCAGAGTTCCTCTATCTACTTTGCTAGATTAGAGTAAAATTAAAATTTCTCTAATAGTAAACAATTATATATGTATTGAGAATAGTTCCAAGAAAAATGAATTTTACAGTTTCAAGTTATTCTTTCATATGTATATGTAATAAAAAGCAACATATGTATGAGAAATTCAGAAAATTTCCTTTAGATAATCTCACTTAATTTTACTATGTAGATACTAATATTAATTAACATCTATAATCACATCTAATTAATTTGGTTCACATGCCTACTGTGCAATGAGTATAGCTTTCTTTGTCTAAAGATGGCACCCAGATATGTATTAGAAACCATCTATGCTTTTTCTCAAACTATGTATTTCAGACTAGATGGATGCACACAGCTTAGTGTTCCTCTTTACTACTGGATGCTGTTAAGCTCTAGACCATCAGGGTCGTCAGCTGCTAACCGATGTATATCATCAATATAAAACAAAACCATCAGGAATTCTTTGCAATTTTTCTTCCAGGCTTAAAAAAAAAAGTCTCTAAACATTCTTCTGGTGTGGGATGCTACCATTGGCAATATGTCTATAAGGCATCTTCAAATAGTTTTCTGTAATTTTCTCTTTTGGCCTTAATACTCATAAACCTTGGTTTTATTAAATGAATCCTTCTCTCATATACTTGAAAGCTTTGTTTTCTCTAAATGATCACAACCATTATTGTTTCTCAAATTTCAGAAAACAAAGCTTGTACAAAACAGAACTTATACACAGGACTCTGTATTTAAAAAGCCACAGAATAGTATCATCTTGTTCTCCTTAACAGTGCCCAATATTTCCCGAGATAAACGGCAGCAGATTTTATCACTTAACCAAATCAATTAAGCCTTTCTAGAACTACTTTCCCAGCTACTGGAATAACACATGAACCATTACACCTATATGAAGTATTTTCTCTTTTCATTTACTATAAGAAATACTAGAAAGGCATACAGTGAAAGGTAAAAACAGAATAGAATAAGCATTTTGCTTCCGCATCCAGAACATCAAATGAAGCTATTTTTGTTTAGCCAGAACACTAAGCACTTTAGTGCTGTTCTCTGTTCTGTCCTCAGATTGGGACACTTACTAAAATGGTCTCCTCCGGCCTCTAGATTTAATACAATTACAGCATTAGTCTCCTGAATCTGCCTCCAAATCTTGAAGTAAATCTTCTCTGGAGAAGCCCAAATAACATGGGCTCTCTGTGAAGAGTATACTTTGAGAACTGCTGCCTTAGATGATCAGACTGAAATGTTACAAATTTTCTAAAACTGTTATTTCAAAACTTCTTACCTTTACTAAATGACTTTCTTTCTTGTAGTTGCTTTTATTTATTTCTCACAATAATTCACAAATAAGTGTGCCAATAAGAATTAAATGAGAAGTCATTATATATTGACAACTATATAAAAATGGAACCTTTATTTTGAGATTCAAACTACTAAATCTGTTTTCTAGTAATAATTTCATAAGTCTTTGTTTTCTAATAATAATTTCCAAAAATTTTAGTGCCACAAAAATGTTATTTTATTATCCTGTTATTTCAAAGAGACACTATATAGTCTATATATATTATTCAACTATTCAGAAGCAGCCAAACATTTTATAGTTAAGAAAAAATGTTTCTATAGAATGAATATATAGCTTCTAGTGAAGGACAATTTGATTATCAAGCCTTATAATTGATTTATAATCAAATTATATGCAAATCCAAAAACTATGATTCTCTATGGTTATATAATAGTCTTGAAATTTAAAAATATTCACCCATTATGCAAAATTCAACAATTATATTCAGTATCATTTATAGCTGAGGCATAAATGTTACAGGTAATAAAACATAGAAAATAAATAAATGAACCACACACAAATTGTGAAAGAACTCTACTTTCTCAGAAAACTTTATTTAAAAAAAAAAAGCTGTTATTTCCTGTGTCATTTCCACTGTGGCCACCCTGATTTATATCTTCAGTCTGAATAGACAAGATATCCCATGGGAACACAACAGATCCAGCACTAAAGGCAACTTTATATAGCTATCATATTTCCTCAAATTCAAAACCTTTGCTTGTTTGAGAGCAATAAATCTTCATTGTCTAGCTCTTTCAAATGCTTATACATAAGAAATAGTATAAAATACCTTATTTCATCAGTCTCTGGTACTTTTGTATAGGGTAGAATGGCTCGAACACGTCTTCTATCTTCTACTGGCTGGAAACCATTGAAAATAGTAATACTTAGGAGCTAGGGAGATGGTTCATGCCCCTATCCCTAAGTCTGAAAACCCAAAATGGATCCGCATAAACCCACATAAAAATTACTACAGGTGACAGGTGTGGCAACTGTCTGTAATCCCAGCATTTAGGAAGAAAACTATCAAGTCAAACTTGCCAAATTGAAAGGCTCTGGCTACATCCAGAGACTATGCTTAATTAATTAATCAAGTAGAGAACAATCAAGGCAAACACCTGATGTCAACTTCTAGTCACCAGTCATGAGTATTCACGTACAACCCCGACAAAGATACACACAAGTCTCTATACAGTCACACACCTATACATATATTCACATACACAATCAAAAGATAGTATCTATATCCAAGTCAAAAAGATACATCCACACAAACCTTAAAGCCAACTGAATATTATAAACTCCATAGAATCATTTAAATTAATCTTTACTAAGCTTCTATAAAGAACCTAAAAATGTTTGCTACTCTTGCTAGTTATTTTTACAGAAATTAGTGTAAAAGTACAACAGAGTTGGTTTTTTTTCAGATAATCTGAACCATCATTAAATAAGCTACACAGAATATAGAAATTAATCTTCATTTTACAATGTAAGACATTTTAACTCCCTAGCAATTAAGGTAAACTATAAATGCAAAGAATTATCTTAAAAATCTAGTTACTTTAATACAAAATTATTTTAATAAAGAAACTAATTTTTATTCTAGCATTATAACCAGAATTAAGACACATAAAATTATAAAAGTCTTAAGAAATTTAATCAGATCAAAATTCATCTGATTTTGTAAAATAAAAGTTATGGTATTTCATTCATGTTTTACTTGCCTCTGGTGGTGCAACTGGATAGAGTAATTTTTCTCCTTTAAGTAAACAAGAAACATGACTGTAATAACCTATTAGGTCTGAGAGTGAAGAAAAACGCCTTCCACCAATGTAATAATCTCCACACATAGCAATAATCCTAGTTAGTAAAAGAAAAAAGAAACATAGTTTGGAAAGTATCCTAAAAACCAGTCTTTCTTATTTTTTTTTTTTTTTTTGAGTGAAAATTAAACACAGGTTCTCTACCATGGTGCTATGTCCCTCCAGCACCTACACTCATTTTTTTTTTTTTTTTTTTTTTTTTGGTTTTTCGAGACAGGGATTCTCTGTGTAACAGTTCTGGTTGTCCTGGAACTCACATGTAAACAAGGACGGCCTCAAACTTACCGAGATCTGCCTGCCTCTGTATCCCAAGTGCTGGGATTAAAGTCTAGCTTCTATGTTTAATTTTTAGAACCAAGTTTCATAAAGACAATTTTATCAACTTCATGTTCTTTTCCATTAACATACATTCTTGTACTTCAAAAACCACTTCTTTGTATCATCATTGGCAACTGAGTGTTATTTTAAGTATTTATAAAGTTAATATGACAACATATTTATAAGTTTCAATTATGTAACTGAATCAAATACTTGAAAATTTACTACCTTCAGATCTGTCTCCTCACTTTCTATATTTAAGACTCAGCTATTTTATAAAAATTACTCTGGCTAGAAGTAGCTTACAAATCTCATGAAATTCATGTAGAATATAATAAAAATGTTACATAAAAATTATAATCAAATATTATGAAATTATATATGTAAATAAATGTTTACAGAGATGACACCTTACTTGAAAACATACCTGTTTAACTCACAAGTTACGTGTACAGAATTTAAGATAGTGAAGCTAAAAAGAACTAATCCTATACAATGTTTTCTGTTACTCTACAGTCCCAGTCTTTATTTCTTTCATTTTAGCTTTCATCTTTTTCAAAATGTATCTGTAATAATACATTCCTCAAATCTGAGGAATATATTTAAAAACTGGCATTGTAAAGATTACTATTACTATCTTTAAACAAAAAGTTTCAACATCTCAAAAATATTTACTCTAAATCACTGATTAAATAACTTAATTGAAATCAAGCTAATTATACCATCATTCACTTTTGTAAAAGTGAATATATTTATAAACATGTCAGATTAAATACCTAAGTGCCATATTAAATACCTTAAAGTCAGGACAGAGACTTACCTAAAATGGTTGACGACATTTGTCTGGCTAAGAAATGAAAGTACAAAGGACCCAGGCCTCCGATCACTCTCTCTTATAAGGTAGCTTCCAGATTTTCCTGCCTGCCTGAGGCGTTCTTCTGCTATAGTTCTATCGAGTTTTCCATGATACCACCTAGGGGGAAAACAAATAATTAAAATAAAACTAGACATCATAAAACTTCTGTGCAGACTGAAAGACATAATACTATAGGTATTAAACGCTCACATGCAACACTTATTTAATGTTAAAACATTTGTTTAGTCTGAACAATTCAATTTTAACTCCACTTTTCACCTCCTCTCAACTTCGCTAAGAACACTGTTTCACAAGGTTTTTTAATTTCTTCAAATACTACACTCTGTTATCTCACTGATGAACATCTTCTTTCCTTAAATCCCCTTGCTCCAGACTTACCAATATTTGCTCAAAATAGAAACATTTATTGTATCAAACCCTTTCCTGGAACAAAGCAATTAAGTTGAGTAATTAGAAATAATTTACAACAACTCTATATATAAAAAAATCCACTGATATAACAAAGTACTTAGAATCTCGTAGAAAATAGTATTTTACCTAGTTTTAGTTTTACTACCCTGACAGGAAAACAGGAAACTGATCAGTGCCCTGGATTTTAAGACAGCCATATATTTAAGTTCAACTCTTCTTACAGAGAATATAAATATTTTTTGGTGTGCCAATTCAATGGCCAGGGAATCCTTTGTTACCTGAATTACATGGTTCTGTAGCTGATCATACTACTTCAAAGATTTTCTGTAACTTTCAAAATGTCATCCAAACTGTCTTACACAACATTTGTCTCTTCTAAAATTAGTTATGTTAGACTGGTATGGACATTTGCTAAAATTATAAACCCCCTAAAACAAATGAAGTACAGACAATTCAAAGGACAGTGTGAAGGGCTGCAATATTTCTCTTAGCCAAATTAGAATGTTTTTGTATCACAGATATTATTTAACACACATTCTTTCACATAAAAACTCATCATCCTGCTTCTGCTTATCAAAATACCAGTCTAGGTCGAGATCCTGTCAAAAGTATACTTCTATAAAACCCTTTATACATCTACAGCTGCAAAATTATGTTCTCCTTCTAAACTATACTACATATGGACATTAGTTGAAATTAACCTACTTCTATTTCATTTTTAAAAGTCTCAAAAGGAAAAGCTTTATCTCACAGGGAAAATTTTAACCAGACAGGGTGCTCCATGCAGCCTCCATTTTCATGTAATCTCAGTATTTTGGGAATAGGAGGAGGATCAGAATTTCAAAATTTTCAGTACCACAAAAAAATTAAGATAAATTTATTAAATATAAATATAAATCAAGAAAAGAGAAAATACAAACATAACCATAAAATAGAAGCATAAAAATCAAAACATTTAAAAATAAGTAATTAAGTTTACAAAATTAAGAGCTAAATGAGATTAGCAAGAAATTAAGCATTTAATACGAAGCAGATAAACTTGAAAACAGAATTTGCTTGCTAAACAACAAAATAGAATTAAAAAATACAGAAAAGGACAAATAATAGGGGCTGGAGAGATGCTCAGACATTAAGAGTACTGGCTATTCTTCTGGAGGTCCTGAGTTCAATTCCCAACAAATACATGGTGGCTCACAACCATCCATAATGAGATTTGGTGCCCTCTTCTGGCCTGCAGGCATATATGCAAGCAGAACACTATACATAATAAATAAACAAACATATAGGCATCCTCCTGAATATTAACCTTCATCAGGCGATGAAAGGAGACAAAGACAGAGACCCACATTGGAGCACCGGACAGAAATCTCAAGGTCCAAATCAGGAGCAGAAGGAGACGGAGCACGAGCAAGGAACTCAGGACCACGAGGGGTGCACCCACACACTGAGACAATGGGGATGTTCTATTGGGATCTCACCAAGGCCAGCTGGCCTGGGTCTGAAAAAGCCTGGGATAAAACCAGACTAGCTGAACATAGCAGACAATGAGGACTACTGAGAAGTCAAGAACAATGGCAATGGGTTTTTGATCCTACTGCACGTACTGGCTTTGGGGGAGCCTAGGCAGTTTGGATGCTCACCTTACTAGACCTGGATGGAGGTGGGCGGTCCTTGGACTTCCCACAGCTCAGGGAACCCTGATTGCTCTTTGAGCTGATGAGGGAGACGGACTTGATTGGGGGAGGAGGAGGGAAATGGGAGGCAGTGGCGGGGAGGAGGCAGAAATCCTTAATAAATAAATAAATTAAAAATAATAATAATAAATAAACAAATCTTTAAAAAATGAAAGATAGAACATAATTTGCATATATGCTGTGATAACATTTGATTGTGATGTCATCCAGAGTTTTGGGCATTTAGATACGTGGTCCTGATTGGTGGCACAGTGTACAGAAGTTTAGGGAGATATGGCCTTGTTGAAGGAGGTGTGTTACTGGAGGCTGCTTTGCTCTCACTACTCTGAGAAGTTCAGAAGAACCACTAAAAGACCAGGATTATCATACTGCATAAGATAACAACATCCATATATATTAGAAATGCATCTTTCTACAACAAGTGACTACAGGAAGTTACCTAATACTGACTATATGCTGAATCAACCACACCCCATTAAAAATAGCCAAAAATGCTCAGAGCACATTACCTAGCCTTAATGTAATTAACCAGAAAATTACTATCTTCAAGCTGGTGAGATGGCTTGAAGTTCTTGCTGAAAGTCTGACAAACTGCTATCAAACTCCACAGTAGGAAACAACCAACTGCCACAAGTTGTCCTCCGCTCTACATGTGAGCTCATGCTCTCTTTCTCTCACACACATGCATACAAAACAAATATATAAAAAATGACATTAGGTGGCAAAAGTCCCTTCACTACTTTTAGGTCATAAGTTTTGAGAGAAGAGATTTCCAAAGACACACCTGGTACTATTCTAAGACATGAACCAAAAGAAATGTAAAAATTTTAAAGTAATTATTATTCTTTACTAAAACTTTAAAGGTTACTAATTTATTTACAAATTAAGCATTTCTGTATTTGTTAATAGTTTGTTAATTCAAAGAAGCAAATCAAAAAGTGGTAGTTCTACCAATTTTGACTTACAAATACTATACTTAAAGAGAAATCTGTAATGTTGAAAAATAAAACCTGAGCAAATAACATAAATATCTTGGAATAACTCTAACCAAACAAGTGGAAGATTTGTATGACAAGGACTTTAAATCTCTGAAAAAAGAAATTGAAGGAGACACCAGAAAATGGAAAGATTTCCCATGTCTTGGGTAGGTAGAATTAACATAGTAAAAATGGTAATCTTACCAAAAGCAATCTACAGATTCAATGCAGTGTCCATCAAAATTCTTCACAGACTTTCAAAGAACAAAACTCAACTTCAAAAAAAAAAAAAAACCTCAAAAAACCAGGATAGCCAAAACAATCCTGTACAATAAAGGAACTTATGGAGGCGTCACAATCTCTGACTTTAAACTCTACTATGGAGCTACAGTACAGAAAACAGCCTTGTATTGGCACAAAAACAGACAGGAAAACCAATGGGATGGAATCGAAGATTCCTATAAACACCTGATTATAGTGAAAGAAGCAAGAAATATAAAATTGAAAAAAATATATTCAACAAATGGTGCTGGCATAACTGGATATCAACATGTAGAATATGAAAATAGATCCGTATCTATCACCATGCACAAAACTCAAGTCTAAATGGATCAAAGGCATCAATAATCACACTGATCTCATAGAAAAGAGGGAAGTACACTTGAACGCACTGGCACAGGAGACAACTTCCTAAATAGAACCCCAGTAGCAATTAATAAATGGGACCTCCTGAAACTGAGAAGCTTCTGTAAAGCAGGGCGTGGTCAACAAGACAAAGAGACAGCCTACAGAATCGGAAAAGATCTTCACCAACCCCACATCAGACAGAGGGCTGATCTCCAAAATATACAAAGAACTCAAGAAACTGGTCACCAAAAGAACAAATAATCCAGTAAAAAATAGAGTACAGACCTAAACAGAGAACTTTCAACAGAGGAATCTAAAATGCTGAAAGACACTTAAGGAAATGCTCAACATCCTTAGTCATCAGAGAAATGCAAATCAAAACAACTCTGAGATTCCATCTTACACATATAAGAATGACCAATATAAAAAAAACTGATGACAACTCATGCTGAAGAGGATATGGCATAAACGGAACACTCATCCATTGTTGGTGGGAGTGCAAACTGATACAGCCACTTCAGATATCAGTATAGTGATTTCTCAGAAAATTAAGAACAATCTACCTCAAGACCCACTAATACCACATTTGCATATATAACCAAAGGATGCTCAATCATTCTTCAAAGACATGTGTTCAACTGTGTTCATAGCAGCATTATTTGTCATAGCCAGAACCTGGAAACAACCTAAATGCCCCATGACTGAGGAATGAACAAAAAAGATGTGGTACATTTACACAATGGAGCACTACATAGCAGAAATAATACCTTAAAATTTGCAGACAAGCAGGTGGATCTAGGCACATCATATTGAGTTAAGTAATCCAGAATAAAAAAGGACAAATATATGTACTCACTCCTAAGTGGCTTTTAGACATAAAGCAAAGAAAAGCAAGCCTACAATTCACAATCCCAGAGAACCTAGACAACAAAGAGGACCCTAAGAGAAACATACATGGATCTAATTTAAATGGAAGGAGAAAAAGACAAGATTTCCTGAGTAAACTGGGACCGTGGGGATCGTGACAAGGTAGGGGAGGGGGAGGAAGAGAGGGGAGCAGAGAAAAATATATAGCTCAATAGAACAGTATATGAAAACACGTTATTCGGAGTGTGTTTTTCTCTTTCCGAGCATCCTGACCACCAGAATCCACGCAATGGCTTTGACCTTGCTCTTTTGGAGATCTTTATGGGTACAAAGCAGACAGGAAGTTTAGAATCATCCCATGGTGCTGGGGCACTTCTATTCCACTGAGAATATTCCTGATAAGGTTACCTTGGAGGTTAAGTTTTTTATTTAAATTGCTAGAAGTTGTTGATGAGGTTTTATATATATCAAGTGATATTTTACAAAGCTGAATTATATTGATATTTGTCCAAATACTGAG